AAGGTTTCATCAATTTACAGTTGAATTGGTTAGATGTAACTAGAAATTCTATGCTAACAATTTTGTCTCTCAGACTTGCTTGGAAAACCCTCTTCCAGCTCCATGCTTCCCAGCCAACTTTGATCTTCAAAAATTCAAATGCAATGTCAATCATTATCTATTGTCTTCATGATTACTCTTCTATTGTTCTTGTACTTTAATGTTTCTCTTTTTTCTTATTCTTTTACACTCAGTAACCCCTTGTGACTTAGGGGATTACTGCCTTGCATGGGTATGAAACAATTAAAAAAAAAGAACAAAAAACATCAACATAATTTTTTCATCACAAAAGAGAACATAATATCTGAATTTCCAACTATAAACATTTGTATATTTTCCTAGTTTGAAATAAATCTAATATTTGAATTAAAATTTGTGCTTTTGTTTCATTTCCATATTTATTTTTGTGGGTATACTTTTGTTCCAGTCCATTTTGGTTAATAAATAATTTAGTTGTTGAATTGAATACTGCACCCCTCTTTGCATATTCTTTATTCTGTACTTAATCCCATCTGACTCTTGTAAGCAGAAGAAACTAAGAGACAGTGATGAAAAGGAAAATACTTAATCTCCTATTAAATATAATTTGTAAAGTAAAAGTGTTTATTTGCAATTAAATATTACTGTGTAGTATATAATATTGAATGCAATTTCCTAAAATGTTTATGAGTGGAAATACCTAATGATATTTATTTTGATTGGATAATATTCCATATGAATTAATCAAATCTTGTTAGGATTGGTTGAGAATAAATTTAACTTTTTATAAAAAAAAAAAAATTGATATAGTTGTACTTATTTATTAGTAATAGTGTAATTTTTCAATAAGTTACAAGTTGAAAACAGACTGTGATTTGTTGGTTTTTATAAGTTTATAAATGTAAAGGGATTTGTAATATAAATTACAGTAAGTTTGTTTCAGTCCATTAAGTACACCTTTTTTATATTAAAATATTTGCAGGTTATTTAAAGCCAGAAAATATTTTTAAATTGTAAGACTATTCTTTTCAAGATAATGATTTACTGATACAAGCCCTACGAATTAATCCGTAACTAGTGAGAAAATATGGATTCATATCATTCCTAAGGGCATTTGAGCATGTGAATATAATGAACCCAATTGGAATTGGAACATGGCTCTCTGATTTCTTATTCTGAGCAGTTATGCATTACACCACCAACACATCCAAGCATACAGCACTTGGTATTAACCAAGTGGTCACCCATCTAAGTACTGACCAGGTTTGACATTACTTAACTTCAGTGATCAATGTCATATGGCCATAAACCATATTTTTGGCTACAGATTTCCAATGCATTACAGTTTGGTGATGAGTAATAATTATAATATTTATTTTAATTGGATAATGCTTTACTACAAAATAATAAAACTCTCGTATGATTGGTTGAGAATAAAATTAACATTTTATGCAAAAAATTATGTGGTTGTATTCGTTTATTAGTAATAACATAATCTGTAATAGTGTTTCTTTTCAAGTTACACACAAGTTTTATTCCAATTGTGATCTGTTGCTCTTTAATAAGAATAAGGAGTTAGATTTATAATATAAATTATAGAAATCAGCTTATTTCACTCTATGAAGTAAACGAAACGTTTGCTTAACCCAAACAAAGCATCCATTCATTCAACAATTATATCAATACCCATTAACTTTGACATAACAAACCCAACAGGAATTGCACCACCTGCACATCTCAGGTTACAACACCTGCTATTCCTAAGAGGTCACCCATCCAGATTTGATGATGCTTAACTTCTGTGGTCGTATGGGAAGTGGTACAAAGTATTTGTCCACCCAACAACTATATTAATACCCATTAATAGAGCTTTTATAATTTCCTCAAAAAAATAGTAACTTAAAAATCATGGAAATTCATAAAATCGTTCATAAGTGTTTTTAATGGGGAAATTAAAATACCAATAAAAAAACCTATACTTCTCTTCTAAGATTGGTTACCATTTCTCACTAGTTTTTAAATTAAAATTTTTTTATTTGCTCACAGAGAATATATTGAAAACTTAGGTAATACTTTTTTAAACTCTTTCAGTACTTTAGGTAGACTCTGAAGAATTATGACATAAATTTACAGAGTAAGGACATAAATATACAGTATTAATTATTTTCATCCAAACCATCGTCTCTATGAGAAAAAATAATTTTAAGATAGGATATTTCAGAGTTCGTTATGATTAAGGCTTCACTGAAATAATGGATTTTTTTTAATGAAAAAAATAAAAATAAAAGAGTTATCTCCCCTAGTAGAAGTTATCTCCCCTATTTTGGTTTGCTTTCAATATGTTTAGTTTAGTATAGGAAATTTTTCATTCTCAAAAAAAAATAAAGTTTTAAAATAGGAGTGAATCTTAGTTCAAGACATTTGAAAATAATTTAAGTTTAATCGAAATTATTTTGAAATGTCTTGAATTAAAATATTTAAAAAAAATTGTTTGCAATATCCAATGAAATAATAATGCTAGAGCTCTAGCTATTATGTAAGATTACATAGGCGAACAGAATTTCTGACAACAGAAAATAAAAATAAATGAAATAAATGCGAATGTCAGTATGTCACTGTATTACAAATTTTCAACTTTGCTTCTAGAGGCCGTAGCCCAACATATCAACTATTTTGGAATCATGGTGATTCCATGATGAAATTAAAAACATCCCAGCCAGAATCCGAACCTGCAATCTTGAAATTTTTAATTCCCAAGTTTTCATTACTGCGATTGTTTTCAGCGTTTTTTAACGTGATTTTTTGGCGACAATTTTTTTTGTACGATAACAATTTTTATAACTTGGAAATAAATTTGGGAATAATTGAAATTAATTGCGAAAGTCACCCATGAAATAAACATAATTGTTTAAAGTAAGAAGAACCTACGTACATCAAAAATTCATTGTCTTTATTTTAAATTAAGTGACGGCAGAAGAATTATCGTTGAACTTTTAAAAAGTAAGCTTAATTATAAATGCTATAAATGCAGCGATCAGTTTTACTGTTGCATATCGCATCTACTCCTCCCTACCTATTGTGATGAACCCAATCTTGACCCAGTCAAGAGCCCGCTGCAGGAGCTAGTTTAAATGCTTAGGGCGGCTTTTAAGCTCGTAAATAATAAAAGACAAATAGCATTAATGAATACATAACCACGAATATTTAATGGTAATATTAGCCATTTACTTACAAGGAAATATTCAGCCTTCATTGACTGGGGCAGTCAGTATGGAGATTTACTTGACCCCACCACCACCACCACCGAGTCAGGTTGTGGCACAAGGTCAGTTTTTAACGTGGGGATCCGACCGAGTGTTTTCACTCAAGCTGCTGGTCCAAACTGGTCAGAGCTGGTCCAACCTAGTCATAGCCGTGATACCACCAGCACAGGGACAGATCCCTGGAACAGGTAAGTATGACTGTCGGTTAAAATTTATAAAATCTTTACCTTAAAAGAATTTTTCAGGAAAATAGGTCCAGCAGTTGTTATTGCTCTTTCAAATACTGATGGGGGCTTCCTTCCTAACTTTTTATTTGAAGTACTGTGGAAAGTCAACATCTTGATTATGTCATGATATTTTTTCCTTGAGTTACATATGATATCCATTTTAGTTGCTACTGCTGTTTGAAAGTCCTTAAGTGATGTTGTTTCTGTTATTTGGTACAGTTCTTTGCGATTGTGTAGTGCCAGCCCACAAAGTCCAAAGGAGGATGGTTTTAGTCAAGATCTACAGGCTATTACTTGTTCAAAGCCATTTTATACCATTGATCTTAGGAAGCAGCTGTATACAGCTGACAGCATAGATATTTCTGAATGGGTGCGGCCTCATGCATGACATCCATGTGAAAATCTGACAAGGCTATTTAATAACAGGAATCAAATTTTCAGGTTAATGTTTTGGTTTCATAGCAATTTACAGTGTTGTGCAAAACTACTCGCACAGCATATGTTCAATTTCCTTAACTAAATTTAGTAGTAATAAATAGTAAATAAAATACTAAATTAACTTAAATGCAAATCCTAAACTTACAACCCATCACTGAATGATTTAAACATGAATTTTAATGACTTAATGTTTCTAAACTTTTTTTCTCTGGGCCGCATTTTCAGAATGAAAATTTGCTTGCACCACATCAAATTTTATGTGATAAAAAACTACATTTAAAAATAAAAAAACAGAGAGAGAGAGAGAGAGAGAGAGAGAGAGAGAGTGTGTTAAAGGGAGATAACTGCGAATTTGCAGTCAGAATATTATCATTGATAACCCTCTGTGGTTTATACTGCAACTATGCTGAACAGACCTTAGTTACAAGTTCTGGGGGAGAGCACACAATATGGTGTGATCAAGAGTCTGAACAAGGCCAGTACCCTCAAACTGTCGGTCATGATGACACGTGACTTCATGCTAGAGCAATCATCGATGGATCCCAACTAGTTCCGTCTACCCAATTTCACTGACAAGGCTTAGATCAACCCATGGTATGACCAATTGATTAGAGAGTTCACTTTCCCACCATGAGACCTGGGTTTGAATCTCATTGTCATTGATTTATCAGGAAGGTGACATCTTGATGTTATTGGCCTGGGGAGGCGATCCTAGCATACAACTTCTTTTTTTCTTTCTTTTTTTTCTTTTTTTTTATTCAGTAGTTGTTAGAATAACAATAAATGGAAAATAACTGGCTTTTCTACCTATAATGCCTGAGTGACAAATATATATAAATAGTCAAGCTGCTCTTTGACTACATGACCTGACACCTAATGTTAACACCTATGTCCACACTGTTTATATTTATTTATTTATGCTCTATCCCTAATATTGAGCACTTTTCTTCCATAAATATAGCATATGTTAAAAACTATATTTCATCATGTGTGTGTGTCCCAAAAATTCTGAAGTGTTAAAATAAATAAAAGGAACTCAAATTCAAATCCTTACCTTGTTTCTTAAAACCTGGAATTTTGATAAAAACACCATAATCTGTGACACTTGCAACCTGAATAGAATGTATAAAAAGTAAAAAAAAAATTAGACTGGGCTACAAAATGTACGCTAGTACAAGAGTAAAAAAAAAAAAAAAAAAAAAAAAAAAAACTAAATCAAGCCTGCTTATTCCAAATGTCTATCCAGAATTGTTCTACCATGTCAGGACTGGCATATTGATGTTCAAAGTAAATATTATATATTACTCAGCAGATTTGATTTATTCAAGAAAGATATCAAAATAGATATCTAGGTACTTTCTTAATCACAGTTGGGAACAACTGCAAAACTACACCCCAATTATTGTGAACTCCATAATCTTTCCAATGGCTAATATAGTATACACCCCACCATGAGCAGAGAGCCTAGTCATCTCAGCTATTTAACCTATAGATAGGGGAGAGAAGAACTTGATTCAAACCTTATGCAAGTTTATATGCATGGAAGTGAATGTAACAACCTCAACCAGAATTCAAACTTGGTGTGCTAATTCATTGTTTTGGTTGATAACCATTATACTACCTGCACATCCATCAGAATAATCTAGAACTTTTACTGAGAACAAATAGACTGAATGTTGGACAGAAAACAAGTTGAGCAATTTTTTTTTGTTGTTTTGTTGGTGGATTCATTTTCTGCAGCTAATCAACTCTTTGCAGGTTATTTAAAGCCAGGAAATATTTTTAGCTTGTAAGATTTCCTTTTTTTTTTTTTTTTGATAATAATGGTTTAGGGATCATCTTACTAATAAACTCATAACAGAGGGGGGAGGTGGGGAATAGGTGGATTCATTTGTGCGTAAGTAAATATAACAAACCCAAGTGGAATTGGAACACAGCTCCAATTTCAAGCCATTATCCATTACACCACTCTCATATCTAAACTTACAGCATGTGGTATTCCCAAACTGTCACCCATTTAGGTACTGGCCATGCTTGACATTGCTTAACTTTGGCAATTATACAGGAATTTTTTTTTTTTTTTAAACCTATAACTCAGAAATAAAGTGAGCATTTTATATTTATTTGATAATTTTCCATTGTCACCGAACATTTTTGTGAAGTGTGAGTTTTGAGATTTCTCACTTGAATGACCCCCCACCACCACCACCACCACTCGGTAGTGGAATGCATGTACATACAAGTCTGTGTGCTCATATGCAAAATGAAGTCACACTTATTTCAATATCACTACAAACATAAATATGCTATTTGTTGTGAATATAAGAACACTATATAGCAGGTGTGTCAAACTAGTGGCCCTTTACATGCATCTTGGCGGCCCTCAAAGTTTTCTATAGCCATGGTATATCAAGAATTTTGTCTATGTTGGTAATGCAAATTATTAAAAACAGTGAGATTTTTTTCAATTGGTATGATTAGATTGTTTATTCTATCTCAATGGTTTTTTTGTTTTCAAATGTCAGCAACTATTTTTAACTTCTGGTTAATCATGTGATCATCCTTGACAACTAAATAAGAACAAATGTAAAGTGAAAATGTTCGTAATTTTGTAATATTTTGTCTTAAAATGTCAAATTCTACTCCATCTTTAAGAAGAAGAAAATTATCTGAAGAAGGATGTGTGTTTCAAGAAAAGTGGGAATTACAATACTTTTGTATCATTGCTAATGGAAAGATAAACTGTTTAATTTGCAACCACTGCATTGCAACACCAAAAAGAATATAATGTGAAAAGACATTATGAAACAAACCATTGATCTTATGATAAACATGAAGGAGATATGAGCATTTCAAAAATGAAGGAATTCAAGGTAAAGTTAACACAGCAACAGATTTGCTTTACAAAAATTCAGAAAGGCAATGTTAGTTCTGTTATTGCAAGCTTTGAACTCTGCAAAATGATCGCCATCAGTGGAAAATCTTACAGTGAAGAAGATTTCATAAAGCGATGTCTTGTAAAATCAGCTGAAATTGTATGTCCAGAGAAGTCACACTTATTTCAAGATATTTCATTAAGCAGAAACACTGTTGCTGAATGGATTGATGAAATAGCAGGTGATTTGAGTTGACAGTTGAAGACATTATCATCAAGTTTTGAACATTTTTCTATTGCTCTGGATGAGACTTGACATAGCTAGAATAGTATAGCTTGCCATTTTCATCAGGACTTGTGACAACGAATTTCAAATTTATGAAGAACTAATTGAACTGGTCCCAATGCATAATACAAGCCAGTACATTTTTGAGAAAATGGAACAGTTTTTCCATGAGTATGGCCTTGATTTGAGTAAACTTGTGTTTATCTATCAGGTCATCCCATAAGTTCTGTCCGAATTTTGAATAAAGAAAACAAGTGATCAAATGTTACATTTAATTACAGATTCAATCAACAATGTATTTTCCATGATTATCTATGACTTCTTTCCATCTATTAACAAGTTTACTAATTCCATTGCTGTAAAATTCTTTTGGCTTTGATTCAAAGAACTCACAAATGTCAGTTTTAACCTCTTCCTGTGATACAAAAGCTGTTTCTTCCAAATGATTCTGTAAGCTACGAAACAAATGGTAGTCTGAAGGAACACGATCGAGAGAATAATATGGATGAGGAATTTTCTCCGAACCAAGTTCTTCGATCTTTTGTGACGTGATTCTTGCTGTGTGGGGTCGCACATTGTCCTGATGAAACATCACCTCTTTTCAATTCACTAGAGCAGGTCTTTTTTTCCTCAAAGCTTGGTTCAAACGCTCTAATTGCTGACACTATATTTGAGCATTAATTGTTGCATTAGGTGGTATAAATTCAAAATGGATTATTCCTTGGCGATCCCACCAGATTGAAAGAAGAACCTTTTGCCCATGAAGTTCCATTCTCGGCTGTGGCTGGGGTCTTTCCCCTTTACCAAGCCCCTGTCTATGACGCTTAACTTTTCGATAAAAGATCCATTTTTCGTCACCAGTCACAAGTCTATCCAAAAAAGGTGAAACAAGTTGGCAAGAATGGAGAGAACAGCAAATGTCAACTCAGGATTTGAGGTTGTTTTCAGACAATTCATGAGGCACCCATTTTCCAAGTTTAGAAACTTTTCAAAGTTGTTTAAGATGATGATGAACAGTTGTATGGTTTGAACTGAGAACCACTGCCAATTCCTCAACTGATAAAGCAGGATTTTCTTCAAGGGCTGCTTCAAAAAGCTTTTCATCAAACTCAACTGGACGTTCGGTTCGATCTTCATCTTCAAGGGTGAAATCTCCACCTCTGAATTTTGAAAACCATCTTCTGCAAGTTCTTTCATTCACACATTCCTCTCCATAAACTGAGTGAATGTTTCTGGCTGCTGAGTTTCCTTTCTTGAACTCATAAAGCATTATGTGCCTCAAATGATTCTTGGGTACTTCCATATTAGCAGGGTTTTAATCAAACAAAATTTAATTTTATTGTTCTCTGAAATAAAATTTGATCAGTTTAAATGCATCTAAACATAAAAATAATGTTCAGATTAGACATTATAAAATACTCTTTAAATTTTGTTCATTTTAACAAAAAGTTAAAATTCGGACAGAATTATGGGATGACGTGATACTAATGGTGCTGCCAAAATGGTTGGGAGACATAATGATGTTGCTGCCAAGTTAGGTACAAAAATAGAAATCATATATCCAGATTCAACATTCAAGCATTTTCACTGTATAATTCATCAACAGAATTTATGTTCTAAGATTTTAAAATTAGATCATACGTTGAGTTTTGTCATAAAAACAGTGAACTATATCAGAGGTTGTGCTCTGTATCACTGTCACTTTAGCCAGTTATTTGAAGACATGAATAATCAGTTCACAAATGTTCTATTCTACACAGAAGTTTGGTGGCTTTTATGTCATAAGGTACTGAAACGATTTTTTTATTGTAATACGAAATCATGTTTTTGGAGATGAAGGGTCAAAGCACAGATAAATTGAAAGATGAAAGCTGGCTCCAAGATCTAGCTTTTTCAGTGGATATTACTACCCAATTAAGTGACCTTAATTTGAAATTACAAGGTAAAAATAAGCTCATCACTCATTTATATGATGATATCAAGTGTTTCATTGCAAAATTAGCTTTATTGAAGTCCCAGTTGTCACATCAAAAATTTGATTTATTTTCGTATGTGCAAGGAGTTGAAAAAAAAAAACTGCTAATACCGAGTCTCTATTTATCTTTGCTAAGTATGACAGTTATCCAGAATTCCTGTCAAAAGAATTTCAGCAAAGATTTTGTGATTTTTCATCTTGTGAAGATCAGTTTGCATTATTCTCATCACCATTTACTTTTGATGTTGCTCAGGCAGAGATGGAACTACTGGAAATGCAGACTGACTCAACACTCAAGGGAAAGTACCTAGAAGTTGGGGTACCCAGATTTTTTCATATATTCCTCAGACATTTAAGAACTTCAGAAAGTTTGGCACAAAGATTATGGTGATGTTTGGTTCCACATATATCTGTGAGCAGTTATTTTCATTTATGAAGGCCACAAAAACCTCTCACAGAACAAGATTAACTGATGAACATTTTTTATCTTTGATCAAAGTGGGATCTACACAGGCATTCTAACCTGATATATCGAGAATAGTTTGTCTAAAGCGATTTCAATCATTAGGACAACATAAAAATGATTAAGTTGTGCTACCTTGTCTTATAAGTATTTTGTATTTAAAGTTTAGTTATCACGAACTGTGATTAATGTAAGGCTGTAAGCAGGTACAACCCTCAAGGCTGCAGATATGTCCAAAGCGGCCCTCCATATGCCCTTTGTTTGACATGCCTGCTATACAGAATTATTCATATAAAGTTTACCTTGAATATATCTCTTTAGTTACACCAGTTCAGACCTTTACTGCCAGAACACACTATGCCACTTCCACAGAGTCAAATCACCCATATTCCCTATGTATTCCCAACATCCAAAGAAAAGTTCCACTCAGATAACTTTTCCCTAAAGAACTGGAATTTTGAGAAAAAGACTTTCGCATGGGAGCTTCTCTTAACACTTCAATCTTGACCTCTTCAAGTCAAGGTTCAGCCACTATATTTTGTCTTTATTCTCATAATCTTCACTTCCTGCCCATTCATATCACACATGTCATTCATCATTACAATTCTGACCGTAATTCTCTACCTTGAGTGAGTAGTTATTGAGCATTGTGTTGGGTGAAATTTAGTACATAAAAGATTTTTTCAAAAACCAGAATATACATTTGGAATCAGCATATTCAATTTTGTCTTGTAGAACATCAATTGTCACTGGGTAACAGACTAACAGATTTTCATTTTTTGTTTGACCTTGTGTTATCATTCTCAATAAAATAAAGAATTAACAACAAGTCACCCCCAATAAAAAAAAAAAAAATATGCCAATGTTTTCCTGCCAATTCTGTTGTCGAATTGTATATCTGTGGCATACTAATTCCTTAACACAAAAGGAAGGGCTAGAATAAATCCAGGAAATCAATTCCAAAAAGGAGTTTTATATATATATATATATATATATATATATATATATATATATAATAAATAAATAAAAGGTATATTCAGGCAGATACTATTCATCCAAACAAGTTTGATTAAAAAGATCTGCCGATTTTCAAATAAAGTAGTGGATAACACTAAAATATTCTAAAGCAACTGCATCCGTCTCCATTTTAAGCTAAGCAAAAAAATGACTATTTGCACCAAAAGACTGTCATTTGGCCCCTTAAAACATCAGTCCATTCTTCGTGTCAAAGGGTAGATAATCGCTTTCTACATTACTACAGCAGTAAGGAAGAGTTACAGTACTTTTAATTGCATATTTTATGAAATTATAAGCAACACAAATGATTAAATTAGCCACTTTTTACAAAGAAAAGCACAATTACCTAAAGATGTGCATCCGTTTGTAAATTCAAGATTAATTTTTATACTTAGCGATGAATGAATGACATGTTGTTTTTCAAAGTACTGTCATAAATTTGTAAACAATTTAGTTTAACTTTTACTATTACACCCATTTCCCTAGCCATTTAATCATTTCACCTCAAACAAGGCAGTTAAAGTCACTAAGACACAAGGGGGTTACTAAGTGTTAGAGAATATGAAAAAGAAAAAGAAACACTATTAAGGAGAGAGAACAGTAAAATAACATGAATTAATAAGGGTAAGACAGTAGATAACAATTGACATTTCAAATGTAAAAAGATAAGACCTTGCTGCCAATCTAGTACTGTGTTTAAATTCATAAAGTCTAGGTATCATAGAGGAAATTTTATCAAAACAATTGCCATGAAAATTTTTATAGAAACGGCACAGAGAAGCTACCTTACAGTGGTGGGAAAGTGACTGAAGCTGAGATGCCAGGTCAGGACCAATAACATTGCAGATTCATTGGATTTTATCAAGAATTTCTAAATATATTCTAGCCCTATCAAAGACAGGCTAAGACACTGCAGCACAGTTCTGGAGTCATATAAATGACAGATAAAATGGTTAACAAAGAGATGGATGCAAGTAAAATAATACCAATATTTATTTCCTCTATTTTAAAAACAAAACAATAAGAGACATTTGTTTGATGGATTGAATATGCCACGTCACTTTTGGATGTAGGTGCTCATGGCTCTCCACAGGTTCCTTTTCTTTATTTACATTATTTACGGTTAAACTAATCATAATGTCTTCATCGGTTGTCATGCCCTCTGGTTTTCTCCAGATGTCTGTCAATCTGGCTAAATTTTAGGGAATTGAACCTTTATTTAATCTACAAGAAGAGTAGATTGTTCTCTTTCTGCTGTTCATGTCTAGGGATATCCTGTGGTGTTTATTATTATTTTTTTAAAGTATTGCTCAGTAACTGCAAGTCCATTTTCCTCTAAGTCTGTACTACTCGGCTCAGGGTTGAATGATTTGTTCTTTACAGCTAATCAACATTTTGCAGGTTATTTGAAGCCAGAAGATATTTTTATTTTTTAGATTGTAAGATTTTTGGGGGAGATAATAATTATAAATTGTTATTGTTACAATTTCTACTAATTAATCCATAGCTGGGGGAAGAAGGGATGGTTTCACCATACCTTTCCCAAAGGTTAGCGCGTAAGTAAGATGACTGAAATTAGAACTTGGCTCGCCGATTTCCAACTTAACTTCGGTGAACGAGAACCGGTGTTTCAACATGATGTGGTAAGGCAACTGAACTCACATTTACTAAAAAAAACAAAAAAAAAAAAACAAATTCACGAACCAACGATTTAATTGTCCCGACTATTGTCCCGTCATTCCGAAGCTAAAACTTTTTTTCTTTTTCTTTTTATTTATCTGGGAAGATAGTTGAGTTTGAGTGATTCCCCGTTTTCTCCACGGTTTTGTTTTCAGAGTAGTCCTCCTTCTTGTCTCTCAATGCTAAAAAGAAAACCCAGTCTACCCTGCTATTTAGTAAAAAGGAGGGGGGGAAGGGATTTGTCTTCTCCCGAAGCAATTGTACGAAAGTTAATATCATAAACTCGGCGGGAATTTGAACTGAACTGACGACAATGGAAAAAAAAATGTAAACTATTATTTTATTTCAATCAAAAAGTTTTGAAATCTATTTTAATTTTACGAAAAATCAATTTCAGTTCAGTTCATTTGAAGTGAAGATTATAAAGCACAAAATATTGAATCTACGAAAAAGTGCGCGATTTTAATCTTTTTTTAATTTAAAAAAATCAAAGTGACCAAAATAAAATAAATAAATAAAACGGAAAACCGAATTGGGCTCATGTTGAAAATAAGGTAGTAAGATAAAACTAAGAATGGTTATTAATTATTATAATTATCAAAAACGATGGAAATAGTTTTTTTTTGCTGATTTTTTAATAAAAAAAAGTTAAAAATAAATTCAAGAAATTAATTTTCAAAATTACTTGTTAAATTTTTACGCACGCATGCACAACAATAAACAAATTAACATACCTCTCCGTTAAATAAATAATTTAAGTCAGGCATTTTATCGTGATCATCATGTCTTTGCTGTTTTGGTAATGAACATGCATTGTAATTCCCTTCTCGGTCATCATAACTATGACGTTTCAGCATTTTAATGCATCAGAATAAACAAATCAACGTGGGTCTGCATAAGAATCTTAAGTCTAAGTATTTTGCTAACTTTTTTAATTAAAGAATGCGTCAAGGGACGTAACCGAATTGCTTCACGAAAATGGTAAATCTGTTCGAATAGAATAATCAGCTATTACAGAATTTTTTTTTTTTAAATTATAAATACATAGGAGTTAAATTTAACATTAAAAAATAATGGAGTTTATATTTACTTCAATATTTTCATACAACAATGACTAGTAATTTTTAAAGTTTAAATTAAATGGGATGTACACTGCTCGGAATGAGAATTAGGGAAATTTCCAGTTGAATATGTTACAATACAATACATTCACTCACTTTCGTGCAAATAACCTTAGGAAATGTATGAATCCTTTTTTCCCCCCTCAGCTCAGGTAGGGCAGATTAGGTTCTTCAGTCTTGGTCAGCAACCAGTGTACAACAAAAGACAACTCTGAATTAAAAACCATGAAAAACTTTCTTGCTATAGAAAGTGCAATAGTAAACGTCTAGTAAGTTGAGGTTGTGTAGCCTCATACTCTACAGATGGAGTGTCTGTGTATGGGACTTGAGAAATTCTTTATGTAAAAGTCATGGTAATCATATCTACTTAGAAGTATAAATATTATTTAGCTCTAAAATAGGGATAATGTTTGTAATATTTTTTCTTAATAATAATAGGAGTCCTTGAGGCAAAGGGAAAACTGATGAGGAATCTATGAGCAGGAACGTATGTTGTTTTTGGTTAATAAATAGCACTTTATAGCTTTATTAAAAGGATATTTTAGTGGAGAGTGAATGGGAGAAGAGAAAACATCACATTTATTATCCTGCTTATAGAATAAGGCACCTTATTATTATCAAAGCAATATAAGAAGTTCAAAATATATATAAGTTCTTAAAAACATATACAATTCAAACTTCCAATAATCATAAAATCATTGAGATGATACAACAAAGGTTAAAGGTGCATTTTTAAAAAAGATGCACCTACCTAATTGAAAGACAAAAGAAAATTGAAGGGCTTTTGGAAAATTCACTTGTGTCTCTGGGACTTTTAACAAAACTGTTCTTTATCTTGAACACTGCTCATTTCACTTCACAGGTTTCTGTTTGGTTCTGCTTCTTTTTTCCATTTGCTTCTTCTGTAAGAAGCAGCCCAGTTCATTCAAAGGTGACAGCCAAAATATCTTTTCCTATTTTTAAGTTTCAAAGTTGAAATTTTCATGCCTTCTGGTCTCTTTGAAATTTTTATCTTCCCAAAATTATTGTTACCTTCTGGTCAAACTTTTTGTTACCATCTCAAATTATCCACTCTTCTTATATGTCCTCAAAAGAAGCTTCAGATAGATCTCAACCTTTAAATTTATATGAGTGGAAGCCACCCTTTTGATTTGACAATAAATCCAAAGCATATGTATTTTTCAAATTTGAGAAAGAAATCACAAACTGTCTGCCTTAACTGAATTATTTTTGGCAGTTCTTTTTGAGCCAATTCTATATTTAGAAAATTTAACAAACATCAAATTTATTTTTTATTACCTGTCTGGCTCTCTTTTAAATATGCTTTTAAGCGAATGTAAAAGAAAAACCAAGACTATTATAATATTTATTTATATTTTTATTTACACTTTTTTTTTTATTAATCATTTATTTAATTTACATTTTTTTAATATAAATTATTATATTTTCCTCTCAAGAGAAAGAGTAATAAACAAACTTAGTATTGTATTATTTTTAATTATTTTATATTACTTTCTAATAAAAAATATTTAGTATTAATAAAAGAGCATTGAAAAAATCTTTTTTATTTAACTGGAGAAAAGAATAAAAAAGTCTTAGCTGAACAATGCTAGATTTATTGGGATTCATCTACCCAGGATTCCAAACAACAACAACAACAACAAAAAAAAAATGAAATATAAAACGGTTATTATCTGAAGGAAAAGTAGAAACAGAACATCAGTTGAAATAACATTTATATATTCTTTTCAGAAATATACAATCACAATAAGATGTTCATTTTTCCTGACAGTGAAGTTTGTTTTATAAAGTAATTAAGTGTTCTTAATGTGGTGGAAATGTGTGAACAGACTTTATGACGGTCAGCTTAATGTGTTTGTGAGACAAAGGTTTAGTAGGTGGTTGCTGGTTAATTCCTTCTATTTCGTGTGTGGACAAGGACTCAGTCGACAGCTGCTGTCTATCTCTTCCATTTTGGGTATGGGTGTATGTGTGTACACCCATACCCAAAATGTACACCCATACTCAAAATGTGTGTGTATGCATGTGTAGATCAAACAGGCCTCCAAAATTGTTGTAAGCCTCAAGATAGAAGTATGCTTCTGTTTTTATATCCATAAGGGGATTCAAAATCTAACGTCACATACAGGTGTGAACTTTTTGAATACAAGATTTTCATTGATTAGAATATAATTTCACACTGGTTCATGAAAATCTTTTTCTCAAATTAGGTAGAGTGATGAAAGGAGTTATTATTGTTGTTATTTTCTAAATGATCCAAAAATAACATGTGGTAGGTCTACCACTATCTCCACAATTATTTTGAAGGCATTTTCCCTTGTAATAATTGTTTATCAAACAAACCTGATGAGATTTTATTCCTTGAAAAATATATAAAGAATTTAATTCCTGTAGATTGAATACCTTCCACTGATGGAAAGAGACATTATAAACATAAAAAGCTTGAAGTAAGGAGGGAGGTACCTTTTTTTGAATGTTCTATTGTTGAGTTGAGAAAATATTTTAGGGGGACAGCTTGTAGAGATTCCAAAGGTGACTATCTCTATTTTAGTAAAAGGAACTCACAAGGATCACATAAGAGTTGGTGAGTAACATCAATTTGAAAGGTGACAAACCCCAGCTGCTATCTAGACTGTGGAGAAGGAAGACATATTTGCTCACAGCAATTAACTGAACAGAGGAACCCACATGGTTCTGTCAAGAACGCAGTGGCCACCACTGGCCTGACTGTTTTCTCTTTGGGAAATATTACAAGTAAAACTATCTTGCTTTTCACCATTTCACAATGCTTGTTGTATTTATACATTATAATTTCTCTATGTGGGACAAGTAGTGACAGGTATATATGTGTTTGTATATAATTTTTTTGCATGACATAGCAGAATATAAAAATTCCTTGAGAACAATGCATATTTGTCATTCCTTTCTTTCAGCTATTCTAATCCCTCTATCTGTTGTGTTAAGGTGCTAGTATGGAGTAGTTGGCAAAGTTTAATAAATAAAATGAAATAAAAATATCTCTTAAATCCCTGGAAAAATATCACCTACTTATTTTAAAGGATATTCTTCATGGAATAAGAAGATTTTAAGATCCTAGACTGGGTTAGGCTTTGTGTTTTTCTATTTACACTTTCGACTCCTCAGAAAGTGAAAAAGAGTTTCAGAAGAAGAAAAAGAAATGAATTTGAAGAAAGAAGAAAATGAAAACTGTTTGAAGAAAGAAGATAACAGAATTTGAAGAAATTGTTAAAAGATTTTATAACAAGATTTTTTTATTGTAAAGAAAAAGTTCAAAAAAGAAAAATGTTTTTAAGTTGTCTGCTTGTAGAATGATACATTCTATAGACTGACATTATTCATGTAAGTAAATCCATTTTATTTTTTGTTCATTATTACTTTTTGTTACTACTTAGCATATGGAACAATATGCATGTAATTTTTTATTTATAAGAATAAAGATTTACCTGTGAACATTGTATTTTGGTTGTTATCCAATAATTTTAAGATCGTCTGCTTCTTTGAGTAGTTTTGTTGTTAGTTTCCTATGAAGAAGCCGAGAACAAAATTGGCAGTTTTAGTCTTCTTGTGTATTAATATATTTATTTATAATTTAAATATATTAATGTAAGATCGTACACGGTTAAAACTTGAATTTGATTGAGAAATTAATTTTTCATTTAAATTTGGGGTTTTAATATCACCCAACACCAACACACAAGAGGAGATGATTGATTTTTTCTTCAATATCTCTTAAATCCCTGGAAAAATATCACCTACTTATCTTAACACCTCATTAAAATTAACACCAGCATTCTTAAGGACAGGTCAATCAGCTATGTTTCTGAAACTAGATACTTGGATAAGAAAAAAAAGACTTTGTACCAAAGTAAAGACCAATCCTACACATGCTCAATACAATCTCAAACCAGTTACCAATATCAATATAAACCAAAGAAAAGTGAGTTTTGAGATCAGTTCTCTCTATCCTCTCACCAGAAAGTGGGATAGGCTGGCCCACTCCACTAACCACCAAAGAACTAATCTGAACAACTGAACTACTACAAGGAAGGAAGAGTCTCACTCTCTCTTCCAGTGTAACCATAAATTATATAAATACAATCTGTATTCAAAAAGAAAATAAACCTTTTAAAATGTTTGCTCAGCGTTCATTCCACAAGTATATTATGGATATGCTAATGCCTATAACAGGGCAAATGGAAATGTTTTCTCTTTCCTAACAGCCCCATTAATCCTGTATTAGTCACTTCAGATTTCCGAAAATGGAAAGTTGACTGGAAAGGAAGAAGTTGGAAGAGAGTTCCACAAACGAGAAGTACAAGAGAAGAAACCATTAATATAGAACTTATCTAGCAATTTCAACTGTAAAATGATGAGACCTAGCTGCCAATCTAGTACTGCGACTAAAATCCTAAAGTCAAGGTATGAAAGAAGTAAGTAATATTTATTTTGTAAAGATACAAAAATATGGCACAAGGCCAAAAGGGGCAATGAGGGAAAGCTGGTCTTAAATCTGTCTTATAATTAAACCTCGCTAGCCACAATTACTGACCCAAACATACCACTGTATTCTTTTCACCAAAACATCACATTCTTTCTTTAACTATTCTTACTACATCCACCATAATACCTCAACAAATCTCTATGAAATCCTAACTAGTTTTATAGGATACAAATCCTATATCATTCCAACAAATGACTAAAAAACACAAAGTAGATTTGCACACCCGCAAAATCGGATCAAAACGACTAAAAACAGATTTCGCAATAAGGTGTGAAATTAATTTTCTGACCAGTGAAAGGAGGCGATTTGCTAAACTAAAAAAAAGATAACGAGCCAGTGTGAAAAAAAAAAGTCAACAATAAATAGAGAGTTTCAAGTCAATCACCAGTCAGAAGGGCGCAGAGATCACAGAAGACTGACAGTAAATTCCATCACTGACTCAACCCCACACTAAGAGCCGAAAGTGGAGTAAGAAAGAAGAAGAAGAAGAACAACAACAAATTTACAAGTGACTCCTAAGTACATTTTCCTCTTATCTTTTATTTCTCATCCACACTCTCTTTTTCAACTTAAATTGATCGCCCCTTTTTCCTTTACACCTATACAAAAACAAAAGAAATAGACATTACTCTGCTACTCTGTTAAAAGACAGTGAACACAGACATTTTTGTCAAAATCACATTTTGCTTAAACTAACTAAAACATTAATCTTTTTTACCCTATTCACAAGATAATAAATATACAATGTTCTATTTTCTACAAACGTTCCTTATTGTGTTTCTTCTTGAAATTTGCGTTGTATTTTGTGGGCAGGGTATCCCATATTAAATTCTCCTTTTAATCCGGGTACGCTGAACCCTACAGTTTCCATATGTACAATTTTTGTCTGTGGGGGAAGGGGAATAAAAACAACAATTTTTAAAAATTTAACCCCAAAAAAGAGGAAAGTTCATCACAACAATTACAATGAAAATATTTATAGAAAAGTTACAGGGGTGTTACATTATGGGGGTGAGAAAATAACTTATTTTTATTATAGGTCATATCAATTAAAAAAATTATTGAACTTGACATTAAATATTCCTGAAGGAAAGATCAAAACCCTAAGTTAAAACTGCATAAGTATGCCTTATATAGTCGTAGAACAATATTGATGCTATCTATCATAGCTAAACAAGGGTCAGGTTTTTCTTTCCAAGCTAATATCCCTACTAGATGCATAACTTTGCCCTCAAACAATTGAATAGCAGTCTAAAGTTATTATAGCAAAACAAATGAGAGGACGTTTTTTTCAACCTATTATCCTATCCATACTTTCTAAATTTTATATAAAAATTACCACATTAATTAAAATTATTTCACATCTTCAACATTGTAGGTAGATACACAAATTAAATTACAAAAATTCGAATTAAGGACAAGAATTGGTTTGATTTTGACGTTTGATACTAAAAAGAGGAAAAATCTTGTAGTACTTTATTTTTAAGTCACATTTGTTAATAATTTAAAATACTGAAATAATATGAAAATATATAATGCAGTTTATAAAAATAAATTTAAAACTTGGAAAACAGACGCTAAAAAATATACGAAAAAAATGTTAGCATTTAATTTCTAGCTTTGTATGTTTTTGTCCACAACTTTGAAAAAGTGGAGGGAAAATTGTAAAACAACAGTGTTTATTTTCGTAAAGTTTGTAATTAATTTTTTTTTTCTCGGTATGACTGGAAGGAGATCAGGAAGGTAAGTAATATGAGAAAAATAAAAGAGAAAGCAATTGAATTTGGTCAAAGATATATTCAATTTTGTGCTTAATGTTGTCCGTAAATTGTAGGCGTTTAACTTTAAATTAACATTGGCAGTGTTTAAAAAAAAAACAAAAAACGTAGCTTTCATGAAGCAACAACCTCTTTTTCTTTTTTTGTGGATCTTGCGAGTTAATGTTTCAATTGCTGACAAATTTGCTGCATATACGAACTTATATTTCGTTTACTCAATTTTCTTTTTCGAAATATCTTTTTTAGCTTGTTGCGAATATTTTTTTTTTTTTTTCGTAATTTTTTAAAAAAAATATTTCAAACTATTGTATTTTTAAAAATTAAATTGTGTGAAGATACAATATTTATTTTAAGAAAAATTCACAGTAAAATATTAAAAAAAAAAAAAAAGCAGATGAAGAATAAACAAGCTAAAAACAATATTTTTCCAAGATTTCCTAAAAATAATAATTTAAAACATAAATTCATTCATTTATGAATAAGTCATGAAAGTTTCATTAAAATCCGACAATTATTTGATTTGTTTTTGCAAGCCTTTCCAAATTAATGTGTTATTTTACCGGAATACAAGCGTGAAAATGTCCATTACCAGTTCTGTACACCGTTGGCGTTTGACGCATTAAAAAAAAACAAGATTTTTAACAAAAGTTTCGAATGTGTTATTTTATTAGAAAGGAGTAAAAAAACTACTTTATTCTTTCCTCTTAATAATAAGTAACATTTTATTTTTGACGATAAAACTTTTTTTTTTTTTTTTTTTTTTTAAGTTTGGGGCCTTTTTTCATCATGCTATGCTCTTTTTTCAGCGAATTATTGGAGGTACCAACGATTCGATAAAATTAAAAATGATCATACATGAATGATGAAAAAATACCCCAAACTTAATAAAAACAAGGTTTTATCGTCAAAATCTTATGTTATTAATAAGAGGAAAGACCAAAGGATTTTTTGATTATTTAATTAAATTATATTTTTGATCTTTTGTAGAACCGTCGAAATTTTGGTAAATATTTTGTTTTTCTTTTCGTCAAGGGTGACCATAAAGTTGTATAGGAGATTTTAGTGTCTTTTTGCCATTGAAAACACTGATTTGGAAATTCTTGCAAAATTATCAGATGGAATTTTTTTAGCACTTATTCAGAAATTATTTTTGAAATCTTTCTTTTTTAAAAAATTTTAGTGAAAATATTTTTTTATGTCAGTTTGTTAACCCCCATTTATTCAGTCTTATTTTTTAAAAATGAAATTTCGAGAAATCCTTTTTTGTAGAATTTAAAAATCATGAAGTAATTTTGGTCAAACAAAATCTGCTCTGAATTGTTAATTAAAAAAATGCAATAAATGATAAAACTAATTAATTATTAGAAAGCTTTTAATTGCATAAAATATTATGGACGTTATAGTCTTAAGAAAATAATCTTTTTCAATGAATAATGAATTTTTACAAGAATTGTTTTCATTTCCTTTTAATTAGAATAATTTATAAACTTTTCAAAATTTTGTATGAATTTGTAGCTATCAAGAAATATTGTTAAGACTATTAATCATAAATGAAAAAGCTCACTATTCAACAACACCTAATATTTTATTAGGTTGTCCCAAAAGTTCATAAACACTTTCAAAAAATTGAAATTTTACTCGCCAAGTAATAAGAAAAAGAACAAAAATTATTCCTCAAAATAAAGACCATCATTTTCCAAGACCTTCTGCCATTGATCTGCAAGCTTTTGGATCTGGTGAAAGTACCATTCAGCCGGCTTCGAATCAAAGAATTCTTGACATGCTTCCTCGACTTCATCAAACGAGTCGAATCGGCGGCCCTTCAGAAAGTGTTGCATTGAACGGAAAAGGCTGTAATCTGATGGAGCACAGTCAGGACTGTAGGCTGGATGTGGCAGAACCTCAACGCCGTCCAGCTCTTCAAACTTGTCTTTGGTCTTCCTGGCGGTGTGTGGCTTGGCATTGTCCTGCTGCATCAAAGTGCACTTTTAGTTGATCAGAGACGGGTACTTTTGCTTCAACTTTTTGTAGACCCGCTCCAGTTGCTGACAGTAAAGTTCGGCACTGATGGCACGACCATTTGGAACCAACACAAAATACATGATTCCTTCAAAGTTCCACCAAACGCACAACATGACCCAATCGATCTTGTTTTGGAACCGACGGTGTCTCTTGCCCTTTCTGAACCCATCGCTTGTCTCGATTGTGCTGGACCAGATAAACCCATTTCTCGTCCGATGTCACAATGCGCTTCCAAAAACGCTTGTCCAATGGATTGCTGAGCAATTGACGGCAAATTTCAACTTGTCTGTTGGCTTGTGCTTCGGTGAGTTCATGCGGATCTTGGCACGGCTTTTTGTGAACAAAATCAAGTTGCTTCAAGTGTCGGTGAATTGTCGATTTGCCAACTCCAAGCTCATCGGCCAATTCTCGAGTGCTCGATGAAGGCGCAATGTCCAACCCGGTTTGCAAGTCTCCATCATCCAACTTTAACGGCCGTCCCAAACAAGGCTTATCTTCAAGACTCATGTCGCCAGAAACGAAACGCTTATACCACTTTGAGATCGCTGCATATGCAATTGTTCCTTCACCTTGGCAGCACAAATCTCTTCTGCAGCTTTTCTGGTTGAAAGACCTCGCTTCCAGCAGTAATGAATCAAAACTCGCAGCTCAATTTTATCAATTGCCATCTGGAATACAAAGATGAAGATCACTATAACAATATAAACGTTAAGAAACAATTAAATAAAATTTTAATGAAATAAAATTTTTTCAAAATTAACAATAAAGTAAAAAAACAATTAAAAATTGCATAAAAATTCAATTTTTCGCAAGTGTTTACAAACTTTTGGGACAACCTAATAAAAGAATTTTAAAGGTGACAAACCCCAGCTGCTATTTAGACTGTGGAGCCCTTTTGATCCCCAAAACAAGTATAAAGAGACCTGTTATAGTGAGAGAAAGGAATAACGAGGATTAGTGAAACAATGTTTATTGCTTGTAGATAGTACAGGAATATGGTTGGGTGTACATGTGATGTTGGTGATTGAACCATTTCTTATGCCAGCGTGACCCAGGTCACAATATACAGTTAGTGTACGTTTGCTTGATTGTGGTCACGGGTGTATGTCGTCTTGTCATGGTAGATCTATTGCATAGAATGGGTGTCACTGGGGTTGACTGCGAAGGGAGTGCCTTATAAACGAGTCAAGATAGGGTGAAGTAGGTCAAGGTAGGCCGAGATGATGGCGGGTTTCAGGAGGCCAGTTCTGTGGAACAGAGGTTGCTGCGTTGACTGCGAAGGGGGTGTGTTGTAAGTGAGTCAAGGTAGAGCTGTTGTGTGGAATGGATGTCACTGGCAACTGCGAAGGGAATGCCTTGTAAGAGTCGGGATAGGTCAAGGTGACAGCTGGTTTAGGGAGGCCAGATCTGCAGAACAGAGGTAGCTGCGTCGACTGTGAAGGGTGCTTCGTAAGCAAGTTGAGGTAGAACAGAGTAGCTGTGTCAACTGCAAAGGGTGCTTTGTAAGCGAGTTGAGGTAGAGCTGTGTCAACTTCGAAGGGTGTGTTTTGTAGTGAGTTGAGGTAGAGCTGTTCTGTGGAACGGAGAGTAGCTGTGTCAACTGCAAAGGGTTCTTTGTAAGCATGATGGCCGAGGTAGAAGTGTTGAGTCAAAGACTAGATAACTGAGGTCAATGTGGTAATGGTTGTTGAAATGTGCAGTCATGTTGAATGGTGGCAGTGAAGGCAGTGACTGTGGCGGTAGTAGTACTTTGCATGGTGACTGGTCTGCCATTCTGTTGTAATGGTGACAGGTGCATGGTGGCAGTCGTAGCAGCAGCAGCAGCCTGTGTGATGACTGGTAGCTGCGCCAACTGCAACTGTCCCTTGTTCGTCCTCAGAGCCTGCTTTTAAGCAGTTCTGGTTGTCCCAAGGGGTCTCTTTAACTGGCGGGAACGTTCATGATTGGCCACTGCCAGAGTTCACCTTGTAGATCGGATGTCGCTGCATGAAGCCCAAATGTGCAGAAACAACTTTTGTTATTTTGATCTCCGCCCTTGTGGCATTCACATCCAGCTAGCATGTAGAATGAATCAGAATGAGATCTAAATGCGATGGAGTATAACAGACCTCTTTTTCAATCAAAACTCAGACGGGAAAACAGACACATCAAATGAATCTCAATTCCAGGGACTGACCGCTTATCTCTCTCACCTTCTGCACCGTCTTACCTCTCACACCAACCTAAAGGAAAGGACACTTAAGTACTTTTCACAAATTTTATATTATCTCAAACTTAATTCTTTTAACTTTAATTAGATACTATTTAGTTTATACACACATCCTTCAAAGAAAATTTACCACTGACTTTAACAATTTTTATTTTGAACTATAAAACTTTTGACTGTAGTTGGGATCATTGAATCAATGTGAACAATCCTTTCCTTAGTTGCATAGTATATGTGCCTCACCAGGGCTACATTTGGATGTGCAAATGCAACATTATCAGAAAATAAGAGTGGTAACTATAGTAAAGTTTTTAAATTTATTGGTAATTTTCTCACATATTTAAGATTACTGGATAGTTAAAAAAAATTATATAAAATAGGCTTTCACATTATATTTGTCAAGTAATTGTTACAGTTATGCCACCATTAGAAAAAACTCCCAAACATGTCTGTTGAGTGAGTTGTCAACATCTAATAAAAAAATACCCACCTCTGTGTTAAAAAATGCTTTTCTGTGTTTCAAATCAGATTAATTAAACTTTAAATCAGCTAATTTTCCTCAAAGTCTTAGAAAAATGTTTTTTTTATTTTTGAAAGATTTTTTAATAAAGAGAATAATGTTGTGTTGATAGATTTGTCAATATAGATGAGTTTAAGGTTTTTATTGCTAATAAAAAAAACAATTCATTCCTACCAATTTCAATTCAGTTCGAAATATAGCAAAGTATTTTGCTTATTGGAAATATTAAATTTAATCTATTAGCTTGAAATTAAAACTAAAATAAAAGCTTCAAGAAAGATTTTTTTATTTTTAAAAATGCATTTTAAATCTTGGGTATCATGTTTCTTTGGAAGTACCTACTTAAATAAAATTGGAAAGGTGTTTTAATTGTTGATTTTTGACTTTTGATACTGGTCAGTGTAAATTAAAACATATTTTTCAAGATTTTACATTGCCAATTTCACTTCATAGTTGCCACTTTTAGTGGGCAATGGTTAACAAGATAGTGTGTTTGAGTCTCATTCCATGACAAATGCATGTGGTCTTGGGCTAACTTAACCTAAATAACAAACTTAATTCTGCAACAGAAGTCAAATGTTAAAAATTTAATCAAAAAAATCTTAATGTTTGAATAGTTATTTTTGATGGGGTTGTACAATAGCCACTGTGATCAGAAATAATCATTTTTTTCAAAATTATTTTTCATATTACTAGTATAGATTAAGTATTCAAGATCTGTTTTTTTTTTTTTTTTTTTTCTGTTAACAAAAATTAAGATTATTTCTGGTTGCAGTGTCTATTGTACAACAGAAACAAAGTAGCAGGACCAGACGGAATTGTAATATAGATGCTGGGAGCCTTAGATGATTTTGGCATAGATAAGATTACAGACATAATAAATAAAATCTACAACAGTGGTGCTATACTAGAAGACCTAATCAGATCTATTTTCATAGCACTGCCTAATAAGCCAGGTGCAAATGAATTTGAGTTCCATTGGACAATCAGCCTAATAAGTCATATAACAAAACTTATACAAATTCTGATGAATAGAACACTCAGCAGAATCAGACCAGAAATAGGACAAGAACAGTATGGGTTCATTAAGGACACTGGAATAAGGGAGGCAATATTTATGCTCAGAATGATATCAGAAAGAGCAATACAAATGCAGAAGGATGTTTATCTGTGTTTTATAGATTATGCAAAAGACTTTAATAAGGTATGCCACAAAGAACTACAAATTAGAGATACCAAAATCAAACAAGTACAAAAATTTAAATATCTGGGAAGTGTTTTTCAATGAATGAATGGTGTAACGAGTCGAGACAATATTAGTTCACTCTAAACCAGACGGACAGTCATTACTAACACCTTCAACTTCTTGTACTATATTTCTGTTGTAATATATCTTTGTTATTCTACTCTTGTGTTCGTGTTGTTCTTCCTTGGTTCTAACCTTGGACCATAACTGTGGTGCGAGGATATTGGACCATAACAGAAAGTTAATAGGGGGTCCAGTTTGTAAATTCATTTTAAACTGATACCTCTACAGAAGCCAAAATAAAATATGCTCATATCACATGTTAGTAGAAAAGATTAATGTTTACTGAATTTTATCTTTTGGTTTCATCTGTTTTCAATTAATTCCTTTTAACTTGACCTTGAACCATGGTGTTTAACAAAAAAAAAACCTTCATAGCAGCTTAACTTCTGTTACTATCTCTTCTCACACATGTGCATGCACACACATCATTGTCAGAAATGATGGAAATGCATATGAAGCAGAATTGTATAATTGAAAGTAGAAAAAGAATTACAGCTACTAGCATTCATTCACATTTGCTGAATATTTATAGAGACAAAATAGTAGATATGAGTACAGTTAGGCAGTGAAAGATGTGTGTGACAAGCCATGTTCCATGTGGTCTTGCATAGGCTCTTGCTCATTGCTGGTGAAAATGCAGAGTCAATGGTGGTGATTATGGGGGTAAAATAGTGTTTTGTAACTGAAAACTTGCTCTATCTAATGATGTTATTGTGCTCCCTGTATCTGTTACATGGAAATAAATAGAAGGCAATACTTTTACAGTGATAAGCTATAGCCAATGGGGATTATGATGTGGAAAAATAGTGTTTTATGTTGTAGCTGAAGACTTGCTCTATCCAGTGGTGTTATTGTGCTCCCTGAATTTGTTGTAGTCTCATGGAAATAAACAGGAGGCATTACTTTTGGAGAAAATTTATAGCCAATGGTGGTGATTATGTGGAAAAATAGTGTTTTTGTAGGTGAAAACTTGCTTTATCCAATGGTTTTATTGTACTCCCTGCATGTTTTATTTTCTATAGAAATAAATAGGAGGCATTATGTTCAGAATTTATTTTTAATTTGCAACTAGTAATAAAATGTAGAAAAATTATCTCAGTGGAGTGTTCTGTTTCCTTTGCAGGGTCAAAAAGCATTTTGATTACTCATCTTTTCTTGAAAATGAGAAGAGTGATGAAAGTGATGGTAAGTTAAAAGATTATTAACAACTGCATTCCTGTGTTTATTAATTTTTATGCAGAAAGCAAAACATCAGTTGAGTTGGTAAAAACACTGATAACACAATGTTAAACAGGATAGACTATTGGTTCTTAACCTTTTCTCCAGTGTTTCATTTTTTAGATATTTTTGCTGGCTAGTGCCCGCTTTGTTAAAATTACACTGGTAAAGAGAGAAGAGTTAATACAGCAGAATTAATGTCACATGTTTACATTTTGTTGCATTATAGCAGTGTCAATCACCAGAAGTGTGGTGGGAGTGTAAACATACGATGTGAAACTCACCCAAGCATTCCTCCAACCAGTTGATGATTACCCTATGTTTCATTTTGATTCTTGATCTTGACAAATGCCACATTGAGAAGTAAGAATGTGAACCCTGCTTCCCATATTATATCTCAATGTTTTCTGTATGTCTTCACCTGTTTGCCTGATTGGTAGGTAAATGACACTTTGGATAACTTCTCTGTCGATCTCATAGATCATCTCATAGCTCATCTCATTGCCCATCTACACATCACAATATGTGGCTGGTAATACAAATGGATGGTATCAGAACCACACAATGGACAAGATCATCTCCCCCCAGAACTGACTCTCTGATCCCAAGCATGGCTGTTAATATCATCCAGCACTTGGAAATAATCAATATCCAGTTTATTGTTGTTTTGTCTCCAAAAACCCTTCATCCACTCCTTTACTTCTTCAGTCAAAGTGGATACTGCTTAGAAGACCAGACTTCTTCAGAAAGAACCATCTGTTGGCTATAAGACAGAAACACTTGAGATCAAGATAAAACCACATCTTCCTTTTCTACATGGGTGCCCATAGTATCACAGGAGGAGCTAAATATCATCACCAGGTCGGATTATAGATGCTGTCAGTTGTAGGCTTTGCTTTATATATAGGCACTACTCCTAATGAAAAATAGGGAACAATGTTTTGATGACTAATTTTTATTTACATCATTCAAACTGTTGTCTTCATCTTTATTGCCATATTCACAACTTTTTGGCCGTTGTACGCGTCAACCTTCTTCAGGTGATATACAACTTTATTTAGTTGAAATTTGGCAAAAGGTGGTTGCATGTTTCATGCTTGGTTTGCTTGAGAGGGGCTAATTTAGAGTGGCACTTGGAAGTGATCTAGGAATGAAGATATTGGTCACCTGTTTTAAATTTTGTTAGCCCAGTGTTAGGTTAGCTTAAGTTGTTTTTTCTTTTTTGGATAAAGTCACCGAATTTAACTTAGCTATGGTATGAATGATCACTGACGCCCCCTCCAACTTATTTTTGACCCCCATTTTATCTTTGGTTTATTCCCTCTCCTCCACCCCTTTTTAGGTGACAGGGTTTGCAGTTATCTGGTAAACTGTGAGTCATATTTGTTTTTGAATTATTGATCCCGCAGTATTTTTTGCCCAGTTAACAGTTATCTCTGATTAGGCTGTGGGGGTGCCGTAACTAAAACTAATTTTGTAGAGAATTAGAAATCTGTTGTATCTGCCCACTACTGATTTCAGCAAGACTGTCAACTCCAAGTAACATTCTATTTCTTGATTGTGCTATCTTCATTCAATGCAATGAAGATATAACATAGATATTTTTTTTATTAATAATTTCTCCCAAAGCAAGGCAATAAAACCAATAAAATGCAAGGGGTTACTGAAGTCAACCATATCAGTATTTGCCTATTAATCAGTGTTCATGCTCTCATCCTAGTTTATTACATAACAAATTTAATCCCTAGTTTTAATTACAAAAATCTTCACTTTTATAAAAAGTACAGAAATAAATTGTGTTGGTTCCAGTTAGAAATGGCTGTTAAAAAACATTTCCCTCCTTCATAGACTAATCCTACAAACAGAGGCTGGGATTTCATCCTAACCAATAAAAATAGACTGCTTCTTGCTCTCATCTACCATATCTTTGTTTTTTCTTGTCTTGATGTTAGAACACTATAATCAATTGACTGTATCTCTTTTGCATGTGAACACAAGTCTTATATTGTGAACTTCTTTGCCTTATTACTGTTGCTTTGCCTAGTTTTGTCTTGCAATATATTGATTGCTTATTATTATTTTGCCGTTCTTTTTTCCTTCATTTTCTTATTGTTTATTGAGAACTTCATCAATTCTGTTTTGCTAATTACACTTAACCATGGCCAATTACTCCACAAATTGTTTATCAAAACCTTTCTTAAAACATGTATCAATATATATGGTTTTAAAGGTCTAAACATTGTAAGTTTAGATGTTTAAGTTGAACACACATGTAAATGGATGATTTCCCTATATTATAAAATAGTTTTACTTCTGTCTGTTCTTTCTGCTGATGTACTTTTCTGAAGAAAAGAATTTTTAGATCCTTACAGAAACTTTTGAAATTGATGTTTTTTTTTTTTGTTGTGCTGTTTAATTGCAGATGACTTTGTTGGAAGTTCAGCTCCACCTCTGAAAAAATCCAAATCAAGCCAGGAAGAGAAGATTAAGAAATCTGAAAACACTTTAACTCCAGAGAAACAAAAACACAGTAATGCAAACAAAAGCACAAAATCAAAAAGGTAAAAAAAAAAAAAAAATTTCTTTTTTTTTCTTATTCTCATCATATTTCTCCATTGGATTTTATAACATCAGCATTTTGTCAAATTTAAGACTTTTTTTTTTTTTTAAACATACACATTTAACAATTTCCAGTATGTAGGAAATCTGACGATCGCAAATAGCATGAAACCCAGGGTCACAAACTCACATCAATCCAACTAAATACATTTCATTTTCTATATTTTTCACTGTGTACCTGTTGTGGTTTACTAAACTTAGCTTAGGTCATTAGTATGGGGCACCCAACAAAGGTCAAACTCACCATGCAGCTGTAATCATCAACTAAACTAGTTCACTAAACATTATATCACACTAGGTAGGATTTATTAACATGTTTATGAAATCTGACTTCAAACTTTATACAAGCCAACTTAGTCAGCTAAAATTTTTCACGTGCTTCATTTAAGTGTTATATTTTCACTAAATTTTTCCCATAAAAAATTTGTTTTTAGCTGCCAGAATGATTTTTCATCCTTACCTTAGACACCAGGTACCAGTTATTTGCATTAAAGAGAGCAAAAAAAAACTTGTGGTTCTACCCTTGATTTCAAGACCACAAAAAAACAAGATAACTCGTGTTCGAGTGATAATAAAAACTGCTGACCATCAGATAACTTGTGGTTAGCAGTCAATGTGTAAAACAAATCCATCAAAACTTTCATTCACTCTAATGATTACATATATAACGGATAAGATTTATTCCTTTATTTTTATTCGGTCAAGTTAGCTTGGATATTCACAAGTTTATCACACCAACTATCATGGTCCTGCATCAGTGTCAAAAGGTCATTAGATAGGCATTCTGTGCCATAACATAGCTGGTCAATGTAGGTGGTGATCAACTCATCTTGCTCCATCTGGAGACAACATCCAACTAAATCACAGCTTTATGGACCATCCCTGATATTTCTACAATCTTACACAAACACAAAATACTCTTTGTAGGACATTGTTCACAAGCAAAACAAGAACTCACGAGTGATGTACTGTTCTGGACACCTAGCCATTTATTTCTAAGTAACCCTTATTTACAGTTCATTTTTTTGTGAAAATGTAGACATTGCATTACTATGCTATTGAGTTAGCCAAACTGAATGGTGTCAAGTTCCCAGGAAGCAATTTTTAGGGGACAACTGAGAAAAAAAGTTATATATATATATATATATATATATATATATATATATATATATAACATGTTCAACCAGTATAAGGCCAAAGAGCCACTCAAGGTAAAGGGTTACTGTGTGATTTTGTATGTGCAAAAAAAAGCAAGAAGTGTCGTTAATGAGGTTATGTAGAAAAGATAACAGTTAACCTTAGACTTGAAGAGGACAATATTATACATGAATTATTAGATGGCATTTACAGATAAACAGAATTTTCTTTTCTTTTTCTTTTCAGAAAGAAACTCGATGAAAAACTATTTGAACGTGATATAAAAATGGCCATGGAATTGTCAATGCAAAATGCTGACCCAGAAAATAGTCTTGAAAGTAAAACTAGTTCTTGTGAAACAAAGTCTGAAGCCAATGAAACCTCACCTCACAAAGAATTACTGTATCTGTCTCGCCATGACATCCACTCCCCACCCAAATCTCCTCCTGTATTGACCTTAAGCGGGTCAAATAAAAATAATGGTCAAACCAAGAGCCACACAAATGAGCAACCTGTTATGCCAGGTAAGTGATGGATCCAAGTTTTAACATTGGTTCTCGTACAATCATCGAAGTTAAGCAACATCAAGTCTGGTCAGTACCTAGATGGGAGACCACTTGGGAATACCAAGTGCTGCAAGCTTGGACGTGCAGATGGTGTAATGAATAATGGCTCAGAATTGGAAATCAGAGAGCCAAATTCCAGTTCTAGTTGGGTTTATTATATTCACTTATGTGCAAATACTCTTGAAAAATCTACCTTTTCTCCCTCTCTGTGGATTAATTAGTTGAACTTGTATCAGTAAAAATTATTATCCTTGCCCAAATTTTTACAATCTAAAAATATTTTCTGACTTTAAATAACCTGCAAAAGGTTGATAAAAAAATACAAATCAATCAATCAATCCAGGTTTTTAAAAAAATATTTTATGTAAATAGATCCATAGAGAGGAACATTGGCCATTATGACATGCAAACATGTTAATTTTCTTTTTATACTAAAGTTCACCTAAAACATGGCACGAGAGCCACTCAAGATGGAAGGTTACTGAATGATGTGCTTTATATGGGTGTGAGAGGATGTGATAGGAAATGAAGATTATGAGGATAAAGAGGATAGATTAACCTTCGACTTAAACAGGTAAAGGGAAGCATCCCTGTGGGAGCTTGTTCATGGGGGAAAAGCTGACTGCCTTACACCCCCCCCCACACACACAAAAAGTGTCATCTGCTTACAGTGCCTACCTTTTGACTTTCATGCAAACTAAATTTATGTCTACCTTATTGAATCTTGTGCAGAGGTTTGTTAATAGTAAAGCATGCATGGTTGTCAGCAAAAGAAACTACCCAACATCTGAATTACAAATTGGTGATACCAGAATACAGCAAATACAAAAATTGAAATATTTAGAAAGCATTTTGTCAAAGGATGGAAAATGCAACACTGAAATCAGGAGTGGCATTGGGATAGCTAAAGTTGCCTTGCAAAAGCTGAGCAAAGTATTAAGAAACAGGAAAATTTAATTAAAAAAAAAAGTACTGAACTGTTATGTAATATCAGTCCTCTTATATGGCAGTGAATGCTGGACAATCTCTTCAGATGCAGAGACTTGAGGCAACAGAAATGTGGTTCTACAGAAGGATACTGAGAATGACATGGACAAAGTTTTAGAGAAAATAAAAACAAAAGGACATTTAGCATAAGATAGTTGAAATTTCTAGGGCACATAATGAGGAAAGAAGGCTTAGAAAATTTGAAACTCATAGGACATATTGAATGCAAAAGGGACAGGGGAAAACACTATAACCTACCTAACAAAGCTTGTGTAAATTGTTGTCAGAACAGGGATTTGGAAAGATAGCAAAAAGACAAGCTTTTGATATGCAGAGAAGGAAATAGGATTTTATCTCTGCTCACTAAATGTGGATTAATTACATTTTTTTTCTCTGACAGTAAGTGATGTTCATGCTGACCAGATTTTTTTTGAAATATGTTCTTCCTTGGCTCTGTTGTTCCCTAAACAATGGAAGCAGGGATATTTAGTATATCCTCCTTGTTGTCCTAGTAGAAAATTAACCATTTTTAAGTCAACACATATGATTCACTTGTATTCCCTGTATTTGATAAGATTTAAAACCTTTTCTATATGTTCATCCTTTTTTTTTTTTTTTTATCCAGCCATATAGATTGCCATTATGCAACAGCACACATTTCTTTTCGAATTGTCTAAAAACAAGCACCAATCATTTGCATATTAAGACTCAAACCCTGTCTTCTTTAACAAACCAGATATGTCTCAGCAATATACTAAACTATCCTCTGTTCTAAAATAGTTAAGTTCTTTTTTTCTGTAAAATGAAATCTATGTGTTTGAAGTAAGTTTTTCTCTTTAAGTCTTGAAACTAAGTAAAATTTCCAGATAAAAACAAAAGGAATCAGAGTTGTTTTTGCACTTGAACTTTCTAGTGCTTAATGACATTGCTTGATTATTCTGCTAATTTGTAAAGGTATTTAAAGCCCTTAAGTCATATAAATTTAAGAAAATCTGAAATATAAAGACAAAAATTGGTTTAATTATGAAATAGGTACTTACAATTTGTGAAATTAAACTAGAAACACAGATGACTAGCTACAATAAAAATGATGTCTAATTAAATCATGATGACAAAATTACTCACTAAATCATATGCCAATTCAAAATTATGACTGATTGATTAATAATGAATGATCATGGTTAATTTACTAAAATAGGAAGATAAATACACGTCAAAAATTAATAATAATGGTTAACAATGTTTTATCCAATAAAAAATAATACTGATGTTACTACTACTACTATGAATTTAGTATTATCAGTATAAAGTTTAATTAATCTAAATTTGTAATGAGTGGGAGATCAACATCAATGTCATTTAATACTATTACCTGGTTTACTTCTTTTTGCTGCCACTCAAAAATTTATTGTATCTCATTATTTCTCTAAAATTCCCCCTAAATCATCAAACACAACAGAGCACAATCAAGTCTTTCAACTTGTCCATTTTTTTTTTTTTAAAATTGCTTGTGTTATAATAGTTCAACACAACAACTGGTGACAGATGTTGATCTGTTTGTGCAACATCTGTTGTTTTGGTATTTGCTCTCTGTTGAATTAAGGAGAGATTCTTACATTTGATAGAATCAAATAAACATTATTATAGTGTTTTGTTGTGGAATCTTTGAAAAATATAACCTTAATAAACATGGCAGCATTTTTTAAATTAAAAAAAAAAAAACTATCTATTAAAAATAATAGAAAATTAAAATTTTTCAATTACAGTTTTGAGTCTTTATAAGAGCTGATCAATAAGTGTATAGCCTGACATTAGCTAAATTTTGATTTGAAATTTTCACTTGTTCTGCGTGATTGTTAATTTTGCTACTGAATTAAGTGTAATGACAAAGAAGAATATATTGAAAAATTATTTGTATAAAATAATTGCTTTTTTCCTCATGACACTAGCAAATTAGACATCTCTATGTAATTTTGTAAAAAAACGTGTGCGTGTCTCTCTCTCTCTCTCTCTCTCTCTCTTTATATATATATATATATATTATGAAATGGACTAAGTCCGACAATTATTTTAATATATTTTTTTGTTTATACGTTATTTTTATACAGTTATTTAAGTAAATGCTCTCTTTATAATAAACAGTATTAATTACATTTACTGGCCTGACTCAGAAATTTTATAGAAAATATGTGTCCTCTGACGGGAATCAAACCTGTATCCTACATGGAACTGTCATTTGGTCATACTTATTATAAATCCCAAGTTGTGTGTGTGTTTGTTCATTTATATATTTTTCAACCGATTTCAACAAAACTTCACAGGACTACGTAAAATTACCTTGCGGTGGTTCTGACAGCGCCAAAAATTGGAAAAACACAATTGTTTTTTGCACAAAATCAATTTGAAAACACGATTAAGAGGCATCACTGTCGCGAGAATGAAAGGGGACAACTCATATCGAGTTATACTTATTATAAAACCCAGGTTTGTGCGTGCGTGTTCATTTATATACGGGATCGGATTTCCTACATTTTTCAACCGATTTCAACAAAACTTCACTTTTTTTTTTTTTTTTTGGCAGGTAGTGTTTCTTATTGTCTTGCACACTTTTTTCTTTATTTTTACATTCAGAATGCTTTAAAAATTCCATTTACAAATCAATTGTTTATAATAAAATTTTATTCAATCGGTAGACTCATAACGATTAAAAACAATGTTTTTGTTTGAGTTTGGGTTTGACCATTCGTTAAAAAAAAAAAGAACTAATTAAGACATGCGTGTCCGTCAACCTTAAACAATAATCTTTGTCAATTTTATTTTTCAGTCTTTATGATGGTCGATACTTGATCTATCTCTTACTGTTACATCCCCGGGCAACGCCGGGCTCTACTGCTAGTCATATCTACTTGAAACATACCTTAACATAAACAAATGACAACATATATCATGAAATGGACTGACAACTATTCTAATATATTTTCTGCTTATGTTATTTTTATAGATACAATTATTTAAGTAAATGTTCTGTTTATAATAAATAGTATAAATTACATTTACCGACCTGAAATTCCTGTCAGAGGATGCATATTTTTACAAAATTTTCTCATATATATATATATATATATATATATATATATATATATATATATATATAGACAAAAGGAAAAATTTTCTATACCAACATGTTATTGGGGCGGTTGTGACAAAGGTTGCTCACTGGTGCATGGGCACCCCCTACCCCCATTTGAGTTAGCATCAGGATCATAGTCTTTAGGCTGAGGGCAGTTACTTATTCCATTTGAAAGAGAGAGAGAGAAAAAAAGAAAAAAAAGTTTAGGATTAAAATGTGATTACTCTTGTTACAGACACAAGGTGGGAATTGACAGTTGTTCAGAGAATTCTTTAGAATCGGCTTACCAAGGATGGGCATGATAGTTATCAAGTTTTAACTTAGTATAAGTTCCAAGATCCCCCTCTTTGGAAAGTGTACAATATTTGCACATGTCCAGTTTACCATGCCAGAAAAAACTTCCATTAAATATAATGTGTTGCAGAGGTTGTACACAGTTCCCAACTTGTTTTGGGAGTTAGTAACATTGGTGTTTGAAATTGGAAATAACATGCTGTCTCCTAAAATACCCAGAACAAACATGGCACACTCAGGATGTGAGTCCATGTAAAGAAACGGCAAGAACCAATATATATATACAAGCAACTGATAATGTATTAACAACAAAGGTATACAAGCGACAAAAACAATGATGTATGTAACAAATGAATGTGCAAACCTTTTTGGTCCAAAGTATATGTAGTGAGTGAATGTGCATACATACGTGTGTGTGTGTGTGTGTGTATTGTTCATGTGTTTCCCAAAAGGGATGTGTTCTCCATGACAGGTTACATGTTGATGAATAAGCGGACAAGGTGAGAAGAGAATGAGAAAAATATTGCAGAATATTTATAGTCCAAAGAGCATCCCCTAGTAGTGGTTTAGAAAATTAGGAGGAGTTAACCCGACAAATGTGATTGACAATTAACAATAAATTAATGTGCAGGTAAACAGTACAGATGCGTGTAAACATCAAGCATATATATATATATATATATATATATATATATATATATATATATATATACTCTTACATACTTGCCTCAAAGCAAGAGAGAAATTTAAAGAAAAATAACACACTTACTGTATAAGTTGACCCCTCACCCATTAATATATGATAGGTTACCAGTGACCCCAAAAGATTTTTTAAAGCTTGAAAACTCGACTTGTATGTCACAATTTATGGTACATAAAAATAAAGAAATAAAAATGGTAACATGAGTCAGTTAAAACAATAAAAACATTAAACAGAAAGAGATTGTCAAAAACATACATTAGGGTAGGCAAAGATTTTTTGTGGGTAGATTCTTGACCAAAAAGTGTTCATGTTTGTTTCCTTTGTGAATGTATAATGGACATTTCCCAGTTTTTGAAAAGAGACACATGGCATTTCTTTGTCATTGAAAAGCTGCAAAAGATCCCTGTCGTATGTTTACATTCTGATAAAAAGCTACAAAAATAAAGATGAAAGCAAAACTAGTTAAAAAATTAATTACAAAGTTGTAGAAGTTGTAACACAAGCTATTATTAAGGACTGCATATCAGCTTCTATTTTGCTTTCATTCAACATTCAAAAATTCTTAGAATTTTTTCCTTTGTTATAGGACAGAAACTTTTACCTTTTTGTTTTTTTTATAAATTTCCTTCCTTTTTTTTTTTTCTTCAGTCTTGACACCTATCATGGATGGACCATCTGATGATATCGAATTTCTTGGGTTGGCTGATGAAGAGGAAAAGAAAACTAATCTAAATCGAAGGACATCAGGTCGAACGGCCAAGAAAATAATTGAATTTGAACCTGAAGATAGTAATGATGATGATTCTGAATTTGAGAACCAAGGTAATACATTTTTATTATTGTAAATTGCATCATACAAATTGACCTCATGATATTTACCTCAAAATTCTGAATTAGGCTTATACTTACTGTATAGGTCACCCCCTTCCCCATATATATATGTTAGGCTACCAGTGATCAAGAGATTTTTTTAAAGCTTGAAAACTTGACTCTTATGCTGCAATTTATGGTATTTGTAATTTAGAACAGCAATAAATTTTCATAAATTTAAAGTTATTTTTTAAAAATGTTTTTTAATCTCTAGTAGTTATAAAGTTTTCCTGTTGACTTGAAACAAAAGATTGCAGCTTTTTTCAATAGGTGGTGTTTGAATACATGGTTTAATTTCATATGCAACAGAAATTTAAGATATATATACATATTCTGAAAGGTGAAATTTGAATGCCTCCTTCCATATGATTCATGTGTAATGTGAATTTTAAATGTTTTTGTTAAAAAAGAAAATCAGATGCATTTTCATTCTTTGATACTGATTTCTAGAAAGGGAAAAAAAATGTTGTACAAACAGTAAAACAGATACGTGCTATTTATAGAGATGGTGCCATAGTTGAGAATACATATATAGAATGCTCAAGAACTAATGCCAGTATATGTCTAGAAAACTGGAAACAAAATGGCAACAATTGAAAGAAAGAAGAAAAAGAAGGAAAAGTGACCCCAAGCGAGTGTAAGGTGAAAAAAAAATGATGAAAAGGGCAAGTAAACACAACATTCTACATGTACATGCAAACAGGTGTACGTGTGTGAATGCAGACATGCACAAAAACTATTAAAAAAAAAAAAAAAAAAAAAAACTTGCACCAATGAAAAGTGCATATAAAAAAAGAAAAATCAAGAAGTATAAGCAATCAATTCTTGATACCTTTTGATGAGTGGGCAGAGTAATTCCTGGAGGGTCTCTCTATGAAACTCTGGAGTCAGGATGCTGAAGATAACATCAATCTGCTAAGTGACAAACATTTTATTTACATTAATTCTACACACACACACACGTTTTTTATATATATATATATATATATATATATATATATATATATATATATATATGTGTGTGTGTGCTGAGCATTTGTGGAAAATAAAAAACATTCCATCACTCTAGATAGATGTAAAAAAAAAATCTACACATTCAGTTAAAAATAAAAAAAACATCCTTGATAATGGCTAATAGAATAGCTGAAAACTCCAGCAGTGTCGTATAATTTTACTCTTACCTGCTCCCCATAACAATACTAATGAATCTTTCTATTGTCATACTAAGTATAAGTAGCTTGATTCAATGCCTGATCTTTTACTTTTGTAGACAGGCATTTCAGTTCATAATGTGAGATGTTAAAATATCGGGCTTCTGAAACACTTAAATCTTGGAAAATTTTCTTTGTAAAATTAAGTATATATCACATAGTTATTTTTAGTTTCAATTGTTGTAATTAACATAATAATACATGCTGAAAATCTTTGTAAAAATGATAAGAATAAAGCTGATTTGGTACAAAAGATGTTTTGATTGCTGAAAAGATTTTTGAAATGTCGTTCAGTCACAAAGTACTGTCCAAATAAAATTTTCTGTGAACCATGATTAAGATGAATGAGTTTTGTAATAAGTTGAGAAAAGCAGCTTAAGAAGCTTTTATGGTGAAAAAAAAGAAAACAAACTAAAATCAAAAATCAAGTCTTGAATCAAATTAGTCAGTGTTAATGCTCTGCTGAGTTCACTTGGATTAAGACAAAATGTGGGTCAAAACATGTATATTCAAGAATCTTTTTTTCTTTTTTTTTTATTGCTTAGGACAGAGCTAAGATGTTATTTTAAAAAAAGACGTCATTTTTCAAATGGATATTGCTATAAATTTTGAGCATTTTCTTCCACTCTATATTTCTGAGATGAGATATTGTAACTATTTACATTATTTATTTACATCATTTGGACTGTTGTCTTCATCTTTATTGCCATATTCATGATGTTTCGGCTGTTGTACACTCCAACCTTCTTAAGGTGATATACGTTGGAATTTAGAACTGAACCCTTTGACACATGGCCCAGTGAATAAAAGTGTTGGACTAGCCCTATGGACCAAATAAAGGGTTTAGTTTAAAATTCCAAATTTTGTAGTGTAAATATTTTGTTCCTTTTGTATTTTGTGGAACACTTAAATATCATGCAAAATGACTCTTGTGTGTTTGAAAATTCAGGGTTCACAAACATCCTGGAACTCGGGGAATTAACAAAAAAATAGTCATATTTTTCAAGGATAGACATCTTTTTGTTTCTAAGTTGTTAGCAAATGTATTCATATATGTATATAATTTTATGAGTTACTTGCCTAAATATCTACTTCTAGTATGCCTGGATGAAATTTATAGAATTATATACATAATTTATTATTTTTAGAAATTCATTTGAGCACAAAGGCAAGTTTTCAAAAACAGAATTAAAAATTAGTCAGATTTTTAACAAAAATCAGAGAATTTTGGTTTAATGTCAGGGAAATTAGAGAATTTCCCAATGCAATTTGACATTCATTAAATGCCATGTTTATTTTGTGCTTTTTAGATAGAAAATTGTTTGAATATAAATGCTAAATGTTATGTGATATAATCTGTTTTCTAGATTTTGCAAAATTTGAATAAAAATGTGTTTTTTTTTTTTGTTTTTTTGTTTTTTTTTTCATCTTTTTAACTGTACTCTGGTAAAGCTATATACTTAGTACTGTCTGTTATGCAATGTCCCAAAATCAAGGAATTTCAGTTGAGTTTTTCAGGGAATTATTAGGGAATTTTATTCAATGATTAGTCTAGGGACCCTGAAATTGTATTTATTTCAGTGTGACGAACATCAAAGCTTAGGCATCAGTCTGCGAACAGTACTTGTCTGAAATCAATTCCAGATTTTGCAGGAGCTAGCATTACATAATGTCCTTCCAAACCCTCCAGGTGCACAGCATCAACTTATTTGGATGCAGACTGGCTTTTCATTTTTCTGGGGATCTTTTTCACTCCACATTGTAAACAATCCATTATTCATGGCCATTCTTTTCAAAAATGGATGATGTGTTTTGTTTCTCATTTTGTGCTGGTGTGTACAAAAACTATGAAAGGCCCAGTATACATCCACAAAGAAAACAAAAGGTGAAATTAACTCCATGAGATCTGAAAAACATGAATCCTGTTTCCCATATATTTAATTATTTATTCAGGGATTCGCTTGCATGGTCTGGAAGATTGGTATGTAGGTGACACTTGGGTTAACATCTGCTACTTCTGTGATGACAAAGTAATGGTTCAACTGTTTCCTTCAGCATCTTTTACTCTCTCCTACTATTCCTCTACTCATCTCTACATCACAATGTAGGGCTGGCAACTCACTCATGATTGGCTTGAAACTACTCTCAATGGATGTCCTGTTCCCTCCCAATGAGTGGCATTGGAACCACCCTCAATTCTTACGTGACCATTTATATAAACCTGCAAGCAGATCTTTCTAACTTGTTTACAAATGTTTTCATTTATTTGTTTATTTAATTTCCTTTTGGTCATTAACCAGAGTTTGGCAGCTGATCTCTCCTCTGTCTTAACTAGCAGCTCAGTGGAGGAAAGAACTGACTGCTCACATTCAATGCATCAAAGACCAAACTAGTGACCTTCTACTATCACTGATCAGAACTTTCACCAATCGTGATGAGTGATGTTCCTTCAGGGAGGTCCTTGAGCACCTATTGGGGCTTAAACTCAACCCAGACCTCAAGTGGAGCTCATGCATATGATCCATCACTAAAGATACTAGGAAAATGGTCAATACTATGTACTGCTCCATCAACTGCATCATTCTTGCTATTCTCTACCTTTACAAGAAGCAGATCAGGCCAAAAACAGAGTACTGCTGCCATATATGGGCAAGAGCTGCCTAGTCATCACTTTCTACTCTCACTCCAAAATTATTCTCCAGTCTGCAACCCCTTTCTCACAGATAAGATGTTGCAAACCTCTCACTGCTCTATCACTATTTCCATGGTGAATGTTCAGCTGAACTACACCCCTTAGTTCCACCAGTCTTAACCTTTATGGCTAAGACCTGGCATGCCATGCACATTATAGCTAACTACCCTCATTCCCTTCATACCACCCTGGTGAAATGTAAGTTCCACTCAAGCAGTTTTTTCCCATAAACTGCTGAGAAAGTGGATGACTGTTTTGAAAATCTTACTTCATAGATTTAACTGTTGCTCATAAAAACACCAGACACTTCTGACTTGGATAAAATCATTTACCATTTATTTCTAGTACCATGACCTAATCATGTAGGAAACCCATAGTATCATGCCATAACTGTTCTTTCTAACTCTGTCTTTCCTCCCACCCCTCTGTTCATCTCTTCATCGCAGTACATGTCTCACAAACTTCTGATGGCCAAATTTGGAACACTCTCAACAGACAACCTGTACTCTGCCAACATGCATGTATCAGAACTCCCTTTAGTTCTGTGACTGTTTATATAAGCCTGTGAGTGGAGCTTTCTAACTTCCAATCAAGTGGCACTTGTTCTCAAAAATTTTCATTCCTTTATTTCATTTTAGTTAAGTGGGTGGCTGCTTTGAAGAACTTACTGCATAGATTTTTACTGTTGGTCATAAAAACACCAGACACTTCAAATTATATATCATCCACTTCTATGTAAGTGTCCTGAGATCTGTTGTATCATACAAATGTTTAAATCAGGCTTGCACAAAACACAGCTGGCAGGCTGCATGTGACCCACAAGACTCCCCAATGTGGCCTATGAAAAGTTTTCAAAATAGGAAATTTTGTGTTCATCAGAATAAATTCAGCAACTGATTGCTTTCAAAAAATTCAGTTTTGTGGAAGCCTGACATTATTCAACCAATATTTCACTGTCTTTGTATTTAATTAGTTTTTATTACTCTCCATAGAAAAAGGAATAGTTTCCTTGCCATCCTTCTCTGTATATATTTGTTTCGGTCTCATACTCACTAATTTACTGTAAAGATTTACTCCTATAGCCAGCAATCCATTGTGCAGGCCTGGTTTAGATGGAATCATTGAAAGAATTGTCAATTTCTTGATTGTATCATTTCAGAAAGTAACTCTGAGGAAAACAGTGATTTTGAAGAAAAACCAAAAAATAAAAAGAAGAAACAAGTTCTTTCCACAAAATCAAAAAAAGAAAATAGAAATCATTTGGGTAAGCTCCATGTTTTTCCAATATTCTTCTGTTCCATTATTTTTTTTTTTAACTCCTTCTTTTAACAGACATTTTTTTTTTATGGCATGTCCCTTTAGGACATAGGTGATCATGGCTCTCCAACTTCTTTATAATCTGAGTATTGCCATATCTTTCTTGGGAAAGATAGCGAAGTGGATTCCTGTTACCTTCTCCACAGTTTGTAATTTAGAAGTTTTTTTTTCTCTTAGACTGGTTGCCACTCAAGGCTAGAACATCTCTTCTACCCTACTATTTAACTCTTAACTGAAGGGGGGGATCATAGAATAATTAACAAAAATGCATGTAAAGTAAACTGCTTATATAATTACCCCCAAATGTAACTGGCATAGTGCATTTATTTTAAATAAAAACAGGAGCTGACATGATTTACTTCTGTTCAAGTGGAGTCATTTTTTCCTCCTTACTAATTCAGATTAACAAATCTGAAATACTAAGGAGGAAAAATGATAAATTCTTGAGCCACTGCTTCTTGCAAGAGTGGTATAAAATGTTTTCAAGAAAAAAAAGGACATAAATGAAAAACATAAAAGAGAACTATTATCAATTGTAAGGTTCTGCTTGTATCTTAAAATGCCAATGTAGATAAAAATGTTACCTATCATGAGTTAAATGTACACAAAAAATATTACACTACTTCAAATCTTAAATTATTGCAAGAAGAGGTAGCTCTGTACAAGATTATAGGCTTCTTTAAAGAAATAGGAATTTTTAAACTTTTTTAATTAAAAAGGAAAATTGTGCAGGTGTATGTCTGTGTATGTAGATGTATATGTGGTGGTTTTCTAAGAATAGCTTAGATGTGGCGCAAGGCTGAAAGTATGGGGCACCCTGCAAATCTAACTCACTTTTCAGTCATAATCCCAGCCCTGTAAGCCTGAAATTTTGGATTCTCAAGTTTTCGTTACTACAATTGTTTTCAGCAATTTTTTTTTTGTGATTTTTTGCAATAAATTTTTTTGTACAATAAAAATTTTTATAACTTGCAAATAAATTTGGGAATAATTGAAATTAATTGTGATATCCAGCAAAAGTTACCAATGAAATAAAAATAAATGTTTGTACGGAAAGTAAGGACCTACATACATCAAATTGTCTTTAAATTAAGTAGCCGCAGAAGAATTATCATTGAACTTTTAAAAGGTAAGCTTAAATATTAATGCAATATTTAAATGTAGCAAGCAATTCTGAGTTCTGTGGTTTATTCTTGCCTATCACATATGTGTGCCTCACAAAAAGAAAAAATATTCTTGTCTATCACATATGTGTGCCTCACAAAAAGAAAAAAATATTCTTGCCTATCACATATGTGTGCCTCACAAAAAGAAATCTCCAACAACAGAGGACCAGATTGCAATCAAAAGAGCCAGGCTGCATCAAGGAAAAGAAATTACCAAGCAAATAAAAGTCCAGATCAAACGGCAGCCAGCAAAGCTTCCAATGCTGAGAATATGCAAAGACTTAGGGAATCTCAAACTCCTGAACAAGCTGGAGACTCAATAAAGAGCTCTTCACAGGAGCTAGCTTAAATGCTGATTGATAGGGAGGCTTTTAAGCTAGTGTATATATGTGACAGACAGAGAGTTTGGGAAATACACAAACACACACGTATATTTTCTTTTTCTTAGTGAAATTGTAGAAGATTTGGATAGTGAAATTAAATCAGAGCATTTTGTTTACTGATGTGGAAATTTGATCTAGGGCAGAAGTTGTACCCATTGAGTCTGGGTTATCAAAAGACAATGGAAATGTTTGAAATAATTTTTAGTGATTAAAAATTGAAATAGAGCTGAGTAAGCTAGAAGGAACTTTTGAATTCACATGATTTTTGTTGAAACAGCCAAAACCCTGTGATAATCACATGTGAAGCAGTAGGGCCAAGGTTCAGTTGTAACCAGCCGGATTTTTCTATATAAACATGTAGTTATGCTGAAAGAAACAGAGACGGGCGAGCGTTGAGATAGGAGAGAGAGAGACAGAAGAAGCAAACGGGCGAGCATGTAGACAGAAGAGAGAGACAGAAGAGAAATAGCCCGAGCAAGAGTTTGGCCAGAGACAGTGGGGAGTCAAGTTGGAGACCCAAGAAAAAGAGAACGTGACGTCAGAGATTGGAACAATGCATCCGCTAACATGTACTGTTGATATAAGTACCACTTCTTCTGCCACCATGAATATTACTACTACTGTTACTACTGCTAAGGAGGAACGCCAATATAAATTTTAAGCTGCACACAGAAATCTTATTCCCCCATCGCAAGAGTCATATATTGTTCTGAGACGATTTAACAAGTTAATCATAACACTCTCTCTCTCTGTCCAGAATCCAGTGTATGCGTTTTTATATCAATTACTTTTCTTTTTTGTAACCCGTTACTTTTCTATACTATTATTTTCTGCTATATAAAAGATATTAACAATTCAATCATTGAATAGTTGGTTGTCCGGCTTTCTGCAGATATTAATTTTTTTTTTTTTTGCTGCATTCTAAATTTCTTAGCGCAAACTCTCCAGCCGTGTCTACATCTTCAGTCAACTGTGAATGGATGAACATCACTTCTGCTTTCTGGATCAATCCAAACACAATGTGGGCAGGAAGCAGGATTAAACCAGTGGACTGGTTGAATAATCTATGGAGGCTCAGGGGACCTACGGCCACTCCCTTAAGTTCGATTAGGACCGAGTAGACACCTCAACCCAGATAATAAAGTTGTTAGAACAATGCTGGACCAGCTAATGAATATTTCAAAAAAAGTGCTTGGTACACAAATTCAAAAAATTGAACATGTGGAGCAGATAATATTAAAAAATTAAAGTAATAGTTCTTGGGAAGAAGCTAACAACATTAATTCACTAATATTTACTGTGCCAAAAACCTGTGGCACTTAACATTGTTTACTTTTACTTTTTATGCAGTAAGATTTTTAGAATTAAGTGTTTAAATTTTTAATTACAGAATGCTCTAAAGCATTCTGTAATTAAAAATTTAAACACTTAATGTTATTTTTCTCTGTTAACTTTTCTTCATAAGAATTGGTTACTAAATAAAATTCTCCACTTGCTTTGATAAAGGATAAAAATGAATTAACAAAAACATTTTCCTCTTGTCATTTTTGTTGATAATACTGTCTTTACAGATACATTTTATTTATATCTGAATTTTTTTAAACACACACACACATATATATATACGCACACACATACATTTGATAGGATAAAGAACAAATAGGAAACTATAAGTGAAAACATGTTTCAATTTTATTTAAGCTTCACCAGAAACTTTTGGAAATGAATTGTGGAAGAGAAAGTTCCAGTACTTTTAGTTCTGTGTTTGTTTTTCCTTGGTTAGGCAGATCTCAGATGTATTTGTCTTGTGATGTTAATGTGTGGTTGTGTGTAAATTTGGATTCTAGTGGACATTTTTTAGTATCTGTCTATATTTCTGAGTATTATGTACACTATTTACATTGTTTGGACTATTGTCCTCATCTTTGTTGCCATATTTATTAAAACGTTTCAGCCGTTGTACGCTCTGGCCTTCTTCAGGGGGTTGGAATGTTGAACTGAACCCTTTATTTTGCTCACTGGGGTAGACTGTTCTAGTTCCACATGCCATGTCTAATGGATGTCAGTTACCAGTTATCTCCTGTTAATTCCCCTCTCCAAGTTCTCCACCACCTTAGCCAGGTATTGAACTCACACTTTTGGGTCCTGTCACTGGATCTAACTAACGCCTCTATCCACTGTGCCATGTGCCCTTGATAACTGACATCCATTAGACGTGGAACTAGAACAGTCTACCCCAGTGAGTGAAATAAAGGGTTCAGTTCAACATTCCAACCACCTGAAGAAGGCCGGAGCATACAACGGCTGAAGCATAATAAGTATGGTGACAAAGATGAGGACAATAGTCCGAATAATGTAAATAGTGGCTATTTTTTGTTGGGCTGATAGTTTCCATGTGTATGATTCTTGTAGGTGGTGGTGAGATGCTAATAAGATGGTGTGTTTGTGTATCATATTTATAGTTGGTCAGATGTTTGGCATAGGAGTGAAAGACTTTGGTTATATCAGCTGCAGTTAGACAGATCTTAAATTCTTTAATTATGGATTTAATGAAAGTTGGTTATATGAAAAAGTGTGTTTATACCTTCTAAATATATTCTTTGAAGTAAAGCATGTTGCTTTCTTATTAGTGTGGCATTTTTTAAATGGAAGTTAAGGCCTGTGTTTTTTCTATATTACAAGTGAGTTCAGTGGTTTGCCCCAATGTAGGTCTCTCTTATGTTCGTAGATGCAGCCTTTTAGGTTTTTGGAGGTTTAACCTGTATAGCTCTTCTGGCATTGCAAGCTTTTGATATTATAAATCTCAGCATTTGATGTAGTGTTTCTTGCTAACTAGATCTCTGATCATTTTGGAGGTGATGGTTATGATCCTAGTGTCAGGGATGGCTAGTTGGTTCTTGAATTTTGTTGGGACAACCCACTGAACTCTTAGCTGGTGTATGTTAATCTCAGTAACCTATTGGGAAATCTACTAGGGGACACTATTCTTGTTCTACTTCCCATGTCTAGGGATGTCTTGTTCTTATTTTTAATACTGCTCATACTAAAAATAAGACAATAGTCTAGTGGATTAAAGCCATGAATTTAGTGATATTGTAATTGAGAGTTCAATTCCTGGGCCGGGAAGTGTGTACTTGAATTCAGTAGAAATAGGGCAAGCAATAACTGAGCAGTACTAAAAATAAGAACTAGATGAGATATCTCTAGACATAGGCAGTGGAATGAGAACAGTCTATCCTCATTGATTACATAAAGGGTTCAGTTCAGAATTTCCTGTATGTTATTCAGATCAACATACACCTGCTGATGACCAGAGAGCACAATGACCAAAACCTTTTGAAAACAAACAACAAAGACGAGGACAATAGCCCATTTGTAAATAGTGTAAATAACTTTTTTTCCTCCAATATCTTCATTGTTCCAAATATACTGGTTGTTATAAAGCTCACTGGATTTTTCTGCCTGCCATATCCATTCAGGATGTTGGCAATCATGGCTTTGCACAATTTCCTGTCCTTATAGCACTCAATAAATTTTGTCTTTTTGTTCTCTCTCCAAGACCCTGTTCTGCTATTCATTTACTCAAGTTCACTAGGTAGGTTACACATTGCTTTTGTCCCTTTTGCCTTCTGTATGTACTGTGAGTATAAAATTTTCAAGCCATCTTTCCTTATTATGTGTCCTAGAAATTTCAACACTCTCTTTCTGATGTTAGCTATAAGGGTCTTTTTATTTCAATTTTCTCTAAAACTTTGTCATTGCTCACATATTCAGTTCATGGTATTCTTGGCATCTTCCTGTAGAGCTACATTTCTGCTGCCTCAACTCTTTTCTTCATCTGTGAGGAAATTGTCTCACATTCACTACCATAAAGAACTGAATTTCACATTAAAATGTACTCTTTTACTTTCAGCATGCACAAATTTAAGCCAAGTTCAAAAGAAAACAGAAGCCAAAAAGTCTGTTTTGTCACCTTTATCATCAGCTCCAGCTCAACGTTCTACAAATTCCATTAAAACAGTGCAGAAATCTCCTCCTAGCACTGAGAACATTAATGTCACCTCATCTATAAATATAAACAGGAAGACAACTTCAGAACAAGTGGCTCCAGCTAAATTAACCCCCAGAATACTAACATGGAATCCTTTTGGTAAGTAAACAGTTTCCTTATTTTTATTTATTTTATTTTTTTTTTCATCTATTTTAAATCTAAGAGATTATTACAAACAAAAATGAACACAATGAACACATTTGCTTTTATTTTAATTCCTGGATAAAAATATATCATGTCAATTTTATTTTGAATCATTTGTCACAGGTGTTATATAACATAGGAAGTTTTGTAATTGATATTCTTACATGTTAGTGTTATTGCAAACAGTTGTCTCTGTCTGGTGTCCATTGAAAATGTAATGACTTCACAGCAAGTTGACAATCACAACTGTGCCTGAACAACGCCCAATTAAAATCATTTTTTTTATATACTAATATTCACCCAATACAAAGCTCAAGAGCCACTCAAGGTAGAGGGTTACTGTGTGGAGTTATATTAGCATAGAAAAGGACCAGTGTTAGGAGTACAGAGCTGAAGTAGACTTTAGAAGGAACCCAAAACACAATCCTAAACAGGAAACAAGAGATAAACCTCTACTCCTGTTTAAAAGACCGGGAAGGAGTATGAACCAGACAATAGGCAAATATATCTACTTCTATTCCTTGGGAATACCAGGTGCTGTAAGCTTGGATGTGTGGGTGGCGTACCGCATAATGGCTTAGAATTGTTAATCGGAGAGCTGAGTTCCAATTCCCATTAGGTTTGTTATATTCACTTATGTGCAAATACCCTTGGGAATGGTATGAATCCGACTTTTCTCCCACCAGCTATGGGTTAGTTAGTAAAACTTATTTACTTAGTATAAGAATCTCAGATTCTTAGTAAGCTGTGGTATCTTTTTTATTTTTTGAACCTCACTGGAAATTTAAGCTGCAAAATATCAGTTGTCAGCAATGATAACCAACCACGGAGTATAATTAAAAAAAATTTTGTTTTTGACAAGAAAGGGGGAAAAAAAGGGTTAATGAAAAAATGAATTTCAAAGTGTTAATTGCAGGTGACTTGACATAATAGCTATATTAGTTTGTGTGTTTGGCTGGATGACAGTATACTCACTAGCATGGGGAGTCTAGTTATTCTTCTTGACACAGTCATTGGTTTATATATGAAATTTAATATCACCTCTGATCTGACAAATGTTTTCTAATCTATATCATGTTCATATGATGTTACTGTAGGATTTTATTGTTACCAATATCTAACCAGTTTGGAATTTCCTTGTCTTTTCACAAAATTCCATTGTTTCTCATTACTTGTCAGGTCCTTAAGGTGCACTTTCAGTGGTGTTCTTAAGGTACGCTTTTAATGGGGTCCTTAAGGTACCCTTTTTGTGGGGGTCTTTAATGTGCTCTTTTAAGAGAGAGAAAAAAAAATTAATGTTTTTTGATTTATGGCTTATCAACCCTTTGCATGTTATCTAAACCCAGAAAATATTTTTAGATTCTAAAATTTGTTTTTTCTTTTGTGTGTGTTTTTTTTTTTTTTTTTTTTTTTTTTAGATAATAATAATGTTTTAATGATACAAGCCTTACTAATTAACCCATAGCTGGGAGGAGAAGTGGATTCATATCTTTCCCAAGGGTATTAAACAAACCCAACAAGAATTGGAACTCAATTCTCTGATTAACAATTCTGAGCTATTATCCATTACACCATCCAAGCATCTGGTATTCCCAAACAGTCACCTATCTAGGCTCAACATTGCTTAACTCTAGTGATGAATGGTAGTGATATAAATATTTTCAAATTTCTCAGCCAGAGTTATGGAGAAACATATATTCTAATTTGATAAATATATAATGTTATCTGAATCCAAAGAAACATCTGCAATATTATTAGCCCTTATCTGGCATCTTGGCTTAAGTCATTTTTCTATTGTAGTAATGTAGCTTCGCTGTGCCTTTTCTATAAATATTTTGATGGTAATTGTTTTGATGAGCTTTACTCTTTGGTATCTCAACTTTACAAATTTAAGTGCAGTGCTAGATTGGCAAATAGGTCTCATCATTTTACAATTGACATTGCAAACAGTTTCTTCTCTTGTACTTCTTGCTTGTGGAACTCTCTTCTTGCTTCTTGCTTTCTAAGTCAAGTTTGATCTTCAAAAATTTAAGAGCAATATCAACCCTTATCTTCTGTTTTCTTAAATCTTGTTCTTTTATTGTCCTCTCTCCTTAATGGTGTCTTTTTCTCAGATCCTTTCACACTCAGTAACCCTTTATGTCTTAGTGGCTTTATCACCTTGCTTGAGGGGAAATGATTAAAAAAAGAGAAGAAAAAATCATAGACTTAGTTTCAAGTGAAAGTGATTTGAAACATCGTCCGATAAATTCACATTCATTTTATGATTCTAATAAATATTAAATATTTATTATTATGATTCTAATAAATATTAAATATTTATTATTATGGTTCTAATAAATATTTTAGAACCTTTTATTCTTGTTAAAAATATTATTAACCTTCAATTGATCAATGCTTCAATTAGAAATTTTCTTATGTTGACTTAACTCTTTCACTGTCTCAAGTCATCATGTGCTATTGTTGTTACTTTGTTGTTATATTCATTCTGTAATTGAAGAGCAGTGAAAATGAGAAAAAGACTAATGAGTTTTTTTTTTTTTTTTTTTTAAAAGGAAAGTCTGCTGGAAACATTACTAACCTTGCATCACCTCCAAGTATACGTCGTTTGGGTCTTTCACGCAACCAGAAGGTGAAGCCACTGCATCCTGCATTAAAAGTGAATCACTGACCAATGTTTTGTTTCTTTGTTTCTGTGTGTATATAATTAAAAATATATATATGTATATTGTACAGTAATCTCATTTTCACTGCTCATGAAATAAATGTATCATAATTTTATATCTATTTATTACTTCAGAAGTTTTTTTTTTTGTCTTTGAACACAGTGCAGACTTCCCTTAGTGACAAAACAAAGTTTGCTTTTTTTACTGATTTAATTTTTTTTTTTTTTATTATTGTACACCCAATACAAGTAAAGCCACAAAATGAAGATTTTGTAATGGCATACAGGCAGAGAGCAAGGGTTACCTGTTTTGAGGATATGTAAGATAAATAATGGTTGACCCTAGACTTGTAGAAGTTAAAATTTTAGTGATTAGGGAAGCATCTTCTTGGGTGTTTGTTCCACATTGCAATAGTCTGGGAAAGAAGTCATCTGAGTGGAAGTTTCTCCTCACCAATAGAATATAAAGAGAATGGGGATTAATCGACTGTATGTGGCATGGTGGGACCTAGCTGTGATAGTCTGGACTGGCAGAAGAACCAAGGAATGCAGTTTGCTTGAATATCTGCAATGAAAGTAGCAATAGAGTAGCGAAATGTTAGCACCCCTTTTATCTGCGAAAGGGATTGAAGGGTGAGAAGCAATTCATCACCAACAAGTCTGCGCAAATCCTTTTGAACTCAGTTGAGGTTGAAAAATGGGGATTGGGCAGTGCCACCCTAACCCATATGTGGTGGCAATTGTCCATGTTTTATTACAAGCTAATCTATATAAATTCTTCCAATACAGTAAAACTAGACAACGGAACAAACATAGAATACATAAATAGAACATTGTTACGCAAAAAGGTACTTTTTTTTTATTTTTTTTTTTTTAATACTGTTTACCTAATACAAGGCCCAAGAGCCACTCAAGGTAGAGTTTTACTATGTGGTGTAGTATGAGTGTAGGAAATTGCAAGAAGTGAAGTGTCTATGCAGGAAAGATAACGGTTAACTATAGACTTGAAGTGGTCAAGATTTAATTAGTGAATGACATTTCAGAGTTGGAGACAAAAGTATAGTGTGGAAGTAGACTTTAGAAGTAACAGGAAACAAGGTATAAATCTCTACTTCTGTTCAAAAGACTGGGAAGGAGTGTGAACCGGGCGATAGACAAACCTATCTACTCCTCTACTTCAGCTACAGATGCTATGGTTTATTTTACTTGTAAAAGACAACACATTTGAATTGCTGTTTACCATGACAATGCTAATGGGAACAAAATCTTTTAAGAATGAGATCAAAAACTGACATACCTCAAGCAAGGTGATAATCCACTAGGATGCAAGAGCTTACTGGGAGTGAAAGACAATGAGAAGACTTTAGTATGGAGAAAGGACAATAAAAGAACAGAATTCAAGAAGACAAGATGGTGACTGATACTGCATTTAAATTTTTGAAGATTGTAGGTGGCATGGAAGCAAGAAACCGGAAGAGAGATGTGAGAAAAGAAGCTATTAGAGACTTTACAGTTACATCTAGCTAGTCTAGCAGTAAAACAATGAGACCTAATTGCCAATCTAGTAGTATGTTTAAATTCATGCGGTCAAGGTGCCAAGGATGAAAGCTCAGAAGAATTGGTATGGAAATATTTATAGAAAAGACAGAAGGAAGCCGTGTCATGGCATTGGGAAAGTAAGTTGATAATTACCAATAATATTACAGACTCTTCTTTAAATTTTGTCAAGAATCTTGGGATATATAGCATGAATATCACACCAGATATAGCAGACATATTTAATTTCACTAATAATGTTACTTTCATGTTTACATGACTGAGCCACTACATATTGATAAAGTAACTTTCTTTTATCTATTTTCTCTAATCCAGTTGGGGTCATTACATTCATTTTTGCACAAATACTGTTGAGGAGGGTATAAATCCACCTCTTCTCTCCCATCTATGGGTTAAATAATAAGACATATCTGAAAAATCATTACATTCAACAAATTGTTAATACAAAAAAAATTAATAATTATTCTTACAATCCCTAAATATCTTTCAGCTTTAAATAACCTACAAAAGGTTGGTAAACTGTGAAAAACAAATGAAACTCATGTAAACAAAACCTATTTTTAAAGTTTTACTTGGATCTCTTCCTCTCTCCCTTTGTTATTAATTCTGCTAGAGGGATTTCATGCTATGAATTATTTCCTTTGAACTCTTCTCCCACTCCAACTGTGGGTTAAATAGTAGGGCTTGTATCTAGAAAAATCATTATCTCCAAAAAATTGTTGATGCAATATTTGCTGACAAAGACTTATTTTTCCGCTCTCAAAAATCTGTTTCAGCTTTAAATAGCCCACAAATAAAAAACAAAATAGACAAAATTCCTCTGACCTAACTGGGGATTGTAATTCTAATTTACTCCTTGTTCTTTGCAGAGGTCAGGGGTTAAATTTAATTCGATTTCTGAACATTCTTCTAGTTCTAGAAAAAGATTTAAACTGTAATATCCATGGATGAGACCAGTCTGATTTAAAATGGGGTTCAGCTACAATGTTCATTCACTCAGCAATACAAATTTCAATACGTCGGACCCAACTGTTTTGCATGAAATGACACAGTATACATTCTTTTTTGATTCAAACCAATTGATTATTAAAGATGAGACATTGTTTTTTTTGTTTTTTTTGTTTTTTTTTTGTGAAAGGCAACTTCAGACCTTATGGTTAGCCCACCAAATTGACAAACATCCTTTTTTCTTTAAGATATAACTATTTTGATATGTGCAGACAGACACAACTCTGAGCAGAACTAATTTAAAAACATCACTATGAAATTGTCAACTTTGAAAATGAGGAAAAAGCACTGTCATTGAGATAGTGACATAATTTAAAGAGATGTGGAATAAAAACTAATCATCACACTGCCATATCTGGTGTGGTATTCATGCTATATATACCAAGATTCTCAACAAAACTAACCTAATAGTTTTCTCTTTCTGAAGATACAATTCTTTCTCATGAGAAAGAATTTTATCTTTAGAAAGAGAAAAGATTAAATTTTGTTTACATATTAGTATTATCAAAATAGCTTAAAAAATAAATAAGATATCAGCTGTTGAAATGGAAGACTGTAAACTAGGGCATTTTGGGATACCAAATAATGGGGTTATCAACTCTGATCCAGTTTTCTTCGCCTCACTTGTGCCCTATAAAATACTGGGTCCCTGTAACAGAGAATTGGGTCAGCCCAATAAAAGACTGAGTTGGTTGTATGTGGTGCTGTAAGCATCAGGAGTTGTGTCCTCTTCCACAATGGGCTGTTGAGAGAAGACCTACTTAGAGTAGGTGGTGCTATTTGTATAGCAAAGATACTGGGCAGGTATTAGCCAATAGTCAGCATGTGTTTGGGACTGGGAGAACTATATAACACCAGGCAGTCTCAACATACAGATGTGCAAAAACCAGACAAGACGAACACAAGCTATTTTGGCGATTGGCGGACCATTATCAAAGTTCAATATAAAATGAATTCCTGAGTTTGACGGATTGGCATCCAGTCTTCCAGTGGTTGAATGGATAGAGAAGCTGGAACTCGTTTGTAGGCTATGTAGAATGAAGTCTTTGGAGCATGTGTTTTGAGACTTACAGGTGGGGCATTTGCAGTTTACCAACTGGATGACAAAGCAAAATTTGACATTGACCAGATAAAGACTTGTCTTGGTTGCAGCCTTTGCTATGGATTCATTTATGTCATACTAACAGCTCATTGAGCGGCACCTGCAGTACGGCGAATCTGTAGATGTATACCTGGCTGAACTGAAGAAACTCGCATTCTTGTTGGGTAGGACGAGTGACCATATGCTGGTTTGCGTATTTGTGCACATGTTGCCTGGCAATGTAAAGCAGACTATTCATGCGTTGTCTAGGATGGACATGCTGTCTATTGACCAGTTGCTTGCCTGAACCCAGGTGATTATGAGAGATGAGGAGATGGAGTAAGTCATGGTGGCAGCAGTGACCCAGCCAATGCAAAGTACGGACGTTTATGTCAGAAAGTGCTTTAGATGTAATGGTATTAACCACATGGCGAAAGATTGTCCAAGCTGACAAAATGACAGGGGATGGGAGTGAGGACAACGCAATACCATGCGCTGTTACTGTTGCCATACCATGGGCCATATGTCTCAATATTGTCCGAGAAAACGTGAGAAGAGATATGTCAATGCCAGTATCTTCTCTAGCCTAGCACTACCTGTGAACAGGGTCCAGATTGATGGCAGAACCATCACCGTGCTGATTAATACTGGTTGTTCACTGTCTGTAGCCAGCAAAGAGATATTCCAGTTGTGGATGAAAGGACCTGTATGCATAACAATGATAGACAAGGAGACCAGAGCCTATTGTGGGATCAGAGTCATTGCTTTCTGGTTGCAAGATGGAAGTCCTGTCATGATTAACATACTGTTGGCGTGAGAAAAGCCACTTGGTTTCAACCTTGTGATCAAAAAACTAGGGGGAGTAGGAATCACTCCTTCAGGTGCAGTGAAGTTCTTCGACAAAACCATCTCTGTGTGCGGCTCTCACCATAGAGGAACCAGACTTTAGTGTCAAGTTCAATCAGAAAAAGAAAGCATGGACAGCATCATGGAAGTGGACTGACAATCAGGCACCAACGAGCCTACGAAACAAGATAGCAGAGTATCCAGTGTCTGAGCTAGCACATAAGGAATATAACCAGAACTTACAAACATGGTTGGATAATGGCTGGCTCATACCGTATCCTGAGGAAGAGCTTGGACCTCCCAAGGGTCTAGTTCCATTGATGGCTATTATCCAAGCAAGCAAGAAAAAGGTACGCCCCGTAATGGATTACAGAGAGTTAAACAAGTACATAGATATGTTCATGGCAAGTGCGTATGTCTGTGCAGACAAGCTAAAGGAATGGTAACAACGCAGGCAAAATGTATTGCTGTTGGACCTTTGGAGAGTGTACCTACAGATCCATGTACACCAGTC